GTTGGAATGTCTGCAGAATTTTGAGTGAGGCAAAGTTTGGCCAAAACAACTGTTTATGTCACTTAAATGGCTGTTTTGCGAGGCACAATCGATATTCAGTGATTATGTGAAGGAAAGGAGTGAATTTTTCAGGGTGATTTTCAAACAAATTTCACCATATAATCTGACTTTTGCCGAAAAGTGTGCTCTTTTGACGTCATTTTCATGACAAATCCCAAGTGAATTGCGTGCTTTCCACCAATGCTGCATTTATTAGCCATTCGGCAAGCCCACGAGACACAGTGAAAGGGGCGTTGAGACTTAAATGGACCACTGGATCGATGGATGGAAGAGGAAGAAGAGTGTCTTTTTGCCAAGAAAACTCTTCCGTGAATGATTCATGCCGAAATGCGCGGGCACTCGGAAAATCTGGCCCGAGACAGGAGAATTTTCGTCTGCTTGTCACAATGCCAAGCTCAATTTGTCTCGATGCTCTGCTGTTGTTTGAATTATTGCTGCCTGACTGATTGGAAAAAGAAGAAGAAAAAAAATGTCCAGAAGTCTGTGGGGGACCTTCAGAGTTTTCTAACCTTACTTTTTCCACACTACGACTTTTTCTGCCCACGCACTGACCGTCTGGCGGGCGTGCGATTCCTCCGGCAGACGCTGAAGCCAATTGGCCACATCAAAAGTGAATTGGCAGTAATTGGAGATGATTCAATTGAGGAAAGATGGCACGCGTCTCTCTTTCACCTTTTCGCATTTTCTCCGAATTCCACACTCACACACACGCACCTTTCCCGCCTTTTTCTGCTCCACCTGGCACCCCTATTCCCGTGCACCGTGGTTGAAACTCTAAACTGCCAAGGGTCGAAGCATCATCCAAATATCGAATTACTTGATATTACAAAAAAGAAACCACCGATCGATGACTGTCTGCCGATGATTTTCGGGCAAGTTTGCTGGCCTTTTTTCGGGGTGTCGCTTCGAAATTGCCCAAAAACAATCAATAACTAGCTGTATATTGTGTGCATGAGAACAGGGGGATTGCCTCAATTGCGGTCTTATTACATTTTCGGAGGGTGTTTTCAAGTGAAAGTAACAATGTTACATAAGGTGGGTTCGTTGATTGTTCTTTTTTTGGCCCTTTCATGCATTTTTTGTAGAGCACTGGCTGGAAAAACCTTCTGTTTAATGTAAAGATTTTAAGGGGAAATTAAAGGACAAATTGATTTACAAATCATCATAGTGAGTGTTGTAAACCTGCTGAAGATACCCATAGAATACATTTACCTAAAATTAGCATTATTTTTAGCTGATTTACTTCTGAGTCGAAGTGCTCATAATCGAGTAGTTGTCATATAGAAAAGCGCTCAGACAATGGATGAAAACGAGATAAACGTATGCACAATAACACATTAATTCGCGATCTGCAATTTGTGTAATTAGCTCGGGTGTTGTTTTAGTGAACTATATATTTGACTGGCACGTATTTTTATCATGCGACATCTATGATCGTGATTGGCGTACCAGTACTTTAACTAATCGGCGCTATGATCGCGTATAGTTATATCACTTCGACCTGAAAAAGAGAAGACATACTTAATTTTACCACGTGTACCAATAATAGTTAGTTTTATCATGCTATATCAATCTGCTTTTCATTTCTGGTGGTAATTTCTAGGTTATAAGACGATAATTTCCGTTTGTGGTTTTACTGCTGGACATCAAAGCACTGCTCATGGGGCGTTTATCTGCCACTGGGCTATTTTACCAACTCAATAGGCAATTATTTGATTAGATAGATGACCCCTCGGTTTCTCCCCATTAACACTTTCCGCCCGACTTCGATGGAAATCCTGCAGAGTCATTTGTGGCGCCCGCAGGACGAATGTCTGCAGATTTATTGTGTCTCACTCGAAGTTTCTGTTGCTGGCTTCCGTTTGCCCCAACCACGCATCTTTCACGTGGTCTCGAGGGCCCTAAAAGTGTGTGTGTGTATGTGTGTTTGTGTGTTGAGTGAGGAAATTGAGATCGATTCGCCATAGTCCTTCGAATTGTTGCAAATTTCAAATGCTTGGCGAGAATGGAATTTCGTTGCAGAAGCATGGATGATATTTTTCAGCTCGTAAATCAGTATGAAATTGCCGGCGGCGATTTATTTACTATCTCCGCCCTGAATTTTAGTCAAACTGTCGTAAAGTAATACAATGAAATATTAATGTGACTTTATTGGACAAGAGGCAGGAATTTATTACCACTGGTAAATGTTGTAGACATGGTATATAATTTCGGGATGGGCGGGGGTCATGTTTTTGGCAAAATATTAGGGTTAAAGATGTGAATTTTCCTGGGTGGGAAAAGAACTAGCCGAGACGCCGAACAGTATGCAATAGTATAGATTTTTTCTAAGCTACGCTCATGAATTTCTGCGGTGAAGCGGCCAGAAATAAATCATGAAAATACTCACCTTCTCACTCCTTTTGGACTTTCTTTCGGCATTGCGTGCCTGAAAATTTAAATGCAGGTGGGAATATAGCTAATTGGCATCCAACTATCATCTTTTTTCTGCTCTTCTTATTCCCATGTGTCCCTAACTCAATTCGCGCTGCGTCGGTGTTGCAAGAAGGGCGAACCTTCCATGAACTCGTGTCCCCGATTTTATCTGGGTGTAAATTTGAATTTTCACAGGGCTTCGGGGTATTTTGTGAAGAATCCACACATATCGATTGCCTTTTCCCTAACACAGTTCTTTTTTTTGGGGGTATTTTCTGCGGTTGCGGAAGACTTTCTGTGTGCACAAGAGTGAAAAATTGTGGCTGGCAAGAGGTCCACTTTGGCCACGCGAAAGTGGATGAATTCATGTCATAAAAAATATATGAAAAGGCGGCAAATGAGCTGAAATTGTACAATTAAGCAAACATAAAAAGAATGTTTGGGGCCTTTTGAGGCAGCAGAACAAATAATATGGTAACATGCAACGAAAGAATTTTGGCGAAGGTAAAATCAATTAAGAGACTCTTGTGTGGAAGTTTTCTCAAAATAAAACAACACAATCTAGGTTGAGAAGAGTTTCTGGTTTAATTTAACACTGAACAAAAGTCAAGCCCTCGTCTTGGTGTTTGTTTTTCTTTGCTACTTGCTCATTGATCAATCAAAGCAGTCCAGAAGCCCACTCAACGTTGAATAATATGAGCTTTGCATAAAACCAATAGATAACTAAGATGTTCTCTGGTAGAAAATTGTATTTAAAGCGCAGATAGAAGCAAAGCCTTCACTAGTTCATTGGAAATAGCGAAATAGGCAATATCCTAATAAAATTTTCACTGTCCTTTTGTGCATATTCATTCATTCATTGAACATGACCTAAATTCCTTAGGTGTCCTAAACAAATTCTCGCTACTGTATACTTCTCAAGTGAATTAAGTACTCTTGTTCATCTGCTCGGTGTTATTTTCTTCCCAATTGACCACCCTTTTCGCCCAAAATTTCTCCCACACACAGCAAATACGGGCGACCAAATAAATCTGAGGAAAGAGCAAAAGAATGTTTGTAAATTTCTCAAGACATTGTTTGGCATTCCCTGCCTCCTTTCGTCAACAAACTGTTCCACTCGTGATAAGATAAGAGCCTCATCTGACTCTCGTTGGTGGTCAGTATGTTGAGTAACTCTCTGAGAGTGAGGCCAGGTGGATTGGAAAACGAGTCAGACTGGAGTCCGCTTAATGGTTGTTTGTGGTTGTAAGATAAAAGTCAATCTTCTGACTTCCTTGCCACAATAAACACTAATTTTTTCTTCACCTCTTCTGGGTTTGGAAATGGACATATTCCACTCACCTATTGACCTCTGCGTGGGTTCACAAGGAGAGAGGGAGATGAAAGTTTAAGGTTCGGGCTCGGGGAGTGACTGTTAATTGATGGGGAAGTGTTGAGGGGTTGAAAAGATAAATAGCCAGAGGCAGCAGTGAGACCGGTCTCTGAATTGGCATCGACGAAAGGCTTCCCGATTATTTACTTGTAATTTATTGACACTGTTTATTTAGCGTACATTGAAAATGGAGTGGAACAATTTGGATTTGTTGACTCAGTGCGCGTTTTATATCTTATCTCGTGAGAAATTTCTCTATTTTAACACATTAGCTCTGAATAAATATGTTTTAATATATTGCCACACCGCAACTCCCCACTTTAATATGCACTGACGAGGTGAAGAGTGGCTTGTTTCTATGCCTTAGACGTCTTTTTTTTTCAATGTTATTTGTAAAAATTTCTCCTATGTTTTATTATATTTTGCCACACACGAAAAAAAACATACACATGTGTCTACTTTTCTTCCATTGTTTCTATTGGCCTTTCTTTGGGTTTCACGCCAATAAAACATCAGTAGAGTTAATTGAATCTAATGAGATTTGTTGAAAGTAGGAAATGTGTCTGAATTGAGGCTATATAGTTTAGGGGTTTTAAATTTTTCCGACCACTTGTGACAGCTGTCAAGTGTCACGCATGACGGACAGTGGATAAACCCCTCGCGCAATGCAACGCGAAATCCAGTTCTTAAGTGCCTCCGTGAGGCTGGCACGCGAGCAATTTTGCAAGATTAAGCAAATTAAGTAAATTAATCGATGGAATTTACTGATAAATCGCTTATACAATATTTACGGTTTTAAATATTGATCTTGCTTCAAGACCAACTAATTGAGTGCCTCCGCGGGGCACCTTTTTATGGTGTCTTTTCTGCCTTTCCAACTCAATTACAATTTACAACTTGATGGCTAAGCGCAAAAAGTCCCGCCTCGACTGAGGGTGGGATTATAAATGTTTGCTCTCTCTCTCTCACTGAGAATGGGAATAATGAACCCCCCATGAGAGGGTTAACAACCACTTTCTGAGGGCATTTTGTATTGACATGAGCCGCACGAGGAGTTTGAGTGGCGAAGGCGGCAATTTATTGATCAAATACCAATTTGTCCCGGGGTTGTATTATTTGATCGATTAACATTGTGATTCTCTTATCTTTGCAGCGAGCGCTTTGGATCCTGGCATAGATCTCCTAGAAGCGCTCAACCTCTACACGAATCACTCCTTCTACGACGGTGTCTCGCTGTCGGAGGATCCCCAGCAACGAATTGCTTATCATCTGCAAAGTGAGTGTGTGAATTTTGCGTCAGAGATTGTGATTGTCTTGTAGTGTTCCTATGCACGGTCCTATGACATTCTATGGAATCTTCAGTGGACACTCACAAATCACATGCACAAGTCATGAATTAATACATTGTAGTTTATTGCAAAGCTCTATATTGAAAATGGTAACGATTTACAAACAATTCTAAGATTAGGATAAAACTATATTTCATTCATGACAGCAGTTTAGATCGAAATTAAATTCCCAGTCAGAACAGTGCGCATGAAGTTGGAAAAACAACGTTTTAAAATTCGACACGATACCATAAAATATGCTCAGCGAACGGCAGAGAATTCTCTTATTTCATCTACTGACTCATTTGTGAATTTTACAGTCGACTTAATGGTAGTCGTAAAGAGTTGAAAAACAATTACTTCCTCCTGAGCATGTCCTCTTGATCGATATTCTCTAAGAATGTCTTTCGAGACTCTCGGGAAGTTTCCCTAGAGTGGCGGTTGTTCATAAATATCGGCCGAAGGCGGTGGAATCGATGGGCAGCCGTCCAAATGCTGTACTGTCTCAGGGGCGAATTGACGTCCACTCCAGGATCAAGATAAGGAAGTGCAGCTGATTTCTTCGGCACTGCGAAAGTTCCTCAACACTTCCGCTTGCCTTTCTCCCCACCACCGTGGCTAATTGCAAAAATCAAGACAGCAAGAGAGGAAGAAGAAGGTCTTGGAGGAAACATTCAGCAGTGGCGCATTCGATGAAATATTTCACATCGATGCGGCCAAGATAGGGAAATGTGGTCGAAATGTGTTACCAAGCAACAAATTCACGGCAAACATTTCATGTTTCAAATGCCGGCAAGTCTCGAGGGTGGCGCAAAAAGAGTTGGAAGGAAAAAAACAAACGCGCGTCGTAAAAGAATCAACTTGCCAAGCTCGCTGTCGGTCTATCAACTTGGAATAATAATGAATATGGGGGCAATGAAGGGAAGATTGAGATGGAAATCTCGAGTGATTTCTCTCTGTTGGGCGAAGTTTTATGTGTGTGTGTGTGTGCGGAAAAACAAACCCTAACGGAGAACCGTCAAAAGGGTGAATCATCGCAATAAGTGCTAAATTATCGCCAGCAATTGTCAAATTGGTGGGTGAGAGAAATTGTAACGTCTTTAGCGGCGAATGATTAATAACACAGCGTTCAGTTGTAAATAAGGAAATGATGAATGCGGCTCGAGACAATTTGGAAGTCAATAGAGCCGATAAAGCGGTTATCAATCATTTAACGATGGATTCCTTGACAAATTGACGCCTTTGCGGTGATTTATATGCCTGCCAAAGTGCGCCAATTGAAAGCCCTTCACGTCAATTATCGTCAGGAGGAGATATTCTGGCTCTGTGAGTAGCAATTTAACGCATTTGGGTCAGTGAAGAGTTGGCAAAATTAAGTGGATTCTCACCGATAAAAAGCCACCACCAAATGGTGCCTCTTTTCCCATTTTCCCTATCGATCCAGCCGAAAAGCGCGTTTCCTTCCTCTCTCTCTCTCTCTCTCTCTCTCTCTTTGTCTCCCAAACCCATGAAATACTATATCAAATTTATTAGCCTTCAATTTCACTCTTTACGACGACAAATCAACTACTGCTGCTGATTATTGGTATTTGTGTTAAACAATTTTACGATTGCCTCCGAGGACCCCATTCGATTTCGCCTCATTTTGTCACACACGCGGCCAATCGCTGAGCTTTTTCTCTTCTTTCCGGGGAAATGTTTTCATTTTGAGTGCATCCACTTTTCCTGGGGGAAGAAAAACAAGGCGATTTCCCTTCTGGCGACATCCTTCAAAGACCAGTCTCACTTGACATCTTGATTGCCAAAAAGGAGGGTTGATTTTCCCCCGGAAGAGGGAGAAAAGTGGCGGAAATTGTGAATTAAATTGTTCTTTGATTGTAAATTGCAACATCCTGACATCATTTTGATCTTATTTCTCAGAAGAAATTTATCCTCTTAGGCGTTGTGGAATAATTGAAATGTGTCGCATGAGAATTTGGTTCCGATATTATTGTGTGGTTGAGCTGGGAAATGGGAGAATTTTTCTTCATTTTCTATCAATAAAGCTGAGTATCTTCTTGTAATTTTAATTAAAAAAAAATACTGGATAACCATAATTTGGCATCAAATGAATTTGCTTCAAAATGACGCAAGAGCATTTCCTTCAGCAGTTCTAATATGCAGATTTAATTTTGTATGTGTGAATAGCAATGATTTGGAATTTCCGAGTGTTCAGGTTACAAATCTCTAAATTAGCCTGACTTTCTGAGATTTCCCCAAGTCTTCTAATCGATTGACAGCGATTTAACAAGTCATTATGATAATGACATAAATAATTCATTAAAAATTCTAATTCCAACTCATTTCCCTTCTCGATTTAAATAAATTGCGCTAAACATCTTCTCGCACTGCCAATAATCTGTTCGAGTTTATTGCATCAGAAAACGTGGCCTGAGACTCTGGGCTGATCTGCTTCTCGTCTGTGGCGCATGAAATGCAAGAAATGCCGATTAGCCATCTCTCGCGCTCTTGATTAATGTCCCCAATCGTGGCACTTGTTCAGCTGGATTCCCCTCGAAAGAGTCACTCTCGCTTTGACAAATTTTCCACCACAGCCACTAAATCAGTGCAGATGCTGAAGTGAGAAGAAAACCCGCCTAATTTTGATGGTATAACAAATTGCCATGCGTTGTGTTGTGTTGTGTTTGTGTTTTTTTCAACGGTGGCGGCGAACAGTGAAGAAGTTTTATTTTACAAGATATCAATTTTCTCGACAAATGTTTGGACATTAGTGTCAATTCACCTTTCCACACACACAAAATAGTGAATTAGTGGTGAAAAAGAATTCTCTAATTTATCACACAATGAACTTCTCACTTGGATTGTGTGTTCTCTTGAATGGAGATGAAGTAAGAAGTGGGAAAGTGGTTTTTTTTCTTCTTCTTCTCTCTGCCTCGCAGGTTATGTAAAGCCCTCTCATATAATCACTCAATTGCTCTGCGCGCCCCTGATTTGCATATTGCGAGGGTGACTATTTAGTGCCCTAGGCTGAGGGCAAAATGTCCCACGGCAGGTCATGAAATCGCCTCATTATACAAACCCTCTCGAGAGAGATTTAATTCAATTATCAAGTGATTCTAATGTTGCTCTCTTTTGCAGGTGGTCATCGAAATTTACTTCTTCCGCCATCAGTTTTCATTCGCGCAGCCAATTCAATACGAAAAACAAACGAATTCACACTCGCGGCTCATTTACGGCAGGACAGAGATAATAGTGGGTCCATCATTGCGTTCTCTTCTGGTGCAAATAGGTGAGATTTTCCTTTTTTAATGATATTTCTCTTTCTTGAAATCCTGATGGTTTGTCAAGATGTTTGTGTCAAGATATTTGTTGGTCGCAGGATTAAATTATCACATTGAATTACGGTCTTTAAAGTGAGTCTTTGGCTGATTTTCCACTTGCTGTGGTGTTCTTAATCTTTGCAGGTATCTTGAATTGCAATCGAGTGGCCGCCGTGATGAGTTGCGATTCCATTTTACCTATACGACATCAGAAGGTGTTTCCCAAGTGCATGTAGAATCCTTTCCGAAAGTTATCATAGACGATAATAAATGGCACAAGATAGCACTCTCAGTAAGTGGCTCCGAAATTCAACTACTAATTGACTGCCATCCATTGTATAGACGAGTGACACATTTTTTACCAGATAGAAATTTTAGTGCTTCCAATATGCAATTGTTTGTTGGACAGAGGAATCAACAAAATCATTCTTTATTTAAAGTGAGTATTTTTTACCTGTTCTTTTTTTTTGTCATATCACGTCATTAGTGATCAATATTGCTGGGGAGGCAATTGTGTGGCGTCACTTGAGATTAGATCGCAGAAGAGAGACCGGACTATTAATCAATTAGGCAATTAGGAACAGTGGAGAGATTAAACACCTCCGCATATTTTCTCGACCTCTTGAACCCCGCAATCAAATGATGACGATGATAAGAATTCAATTAGAGTCACGAGGAAGAATACTGGTCACTGCCGGAGGATTTCAATGCGCCAAGGACTGGCGGTTGTAATTATTGATGTGACATTAAGTGATATGTGTACTGCTTTTGAAATCATCCCTGACGCATACAATGAACATTAATCCCTCGATTCTGAGCGACAAGAAGACTACTTGTCCACCCACGTGAATGAATTACAGAAAAGAGAATTTAATGGCCAAACAGACGAAAAATTGTTTGAGTTAATTTGGTAAACAATTTAATTATTTCCATATCACTTACTTCCACCCCCACAAAGATACATTATTTGGTGAATGAAGGGAGAGAGAGAGAATGTCATTCGCGGGAATTCCGGGAAGAATTCCTGAAAGTAAGAGGGTGGAAAAGTTAATAGGCATGAAAGTTGTGTTTTGCTATTCGAAGCATATTAGATTTCACAATTTGGAGTTTAAAGCATTCTCGCTGTACACAGAAAGGAAAAAAAAGTAGGAATTTGTTTGTTTTTTTCTTATAATATTTTCGGAGGTTATGCAATATATAAAAGATTTTATATGTCTTTTTTCATAATTATATTACTGAATTACGAATTAACAAATTTTGTCACTTTTTCTACCAATTTTTCTTTCTGTGTATTTTATTAATGCCACAATTGCAATTGCCATTAAGTATGATTTAAATGTTAACATTGCCCATAAGTTGGCGCGAAAGGTCGCCTGAGCACATTCAGGCTGAAATTGTGCCCTATTTTCCGGCCTCGCATAATGAAACTATCTTCATTTTCCCTTCGGAGGAACACTCGTAAATCTCCTCTGGCTCCCCTTCCGCGCCGTGCCGAGAGAGCCTTCGCAAGGGGAATTTAATTACTGCGCCGAGTGCATTTTTGGGAGGCATTGAGAGCGCCACAGTGACTTTTTGTGGGTGAACGTCTTGCACGGCACGCAAAGTTGTCATTATGGGCGATGGGGTTGTGTTGAAAAGTCTCTAGGGGCGCTTTTGCAGTGCCGCAGTGGCGCGCTCTGTCTAATGATTGTCTGATTCGCAGGGTTACATTCAGGACGCTCGCGTGATCCCGAGCTCCTATGGCTACCTAACGCAGTGTCCCCACCTGGACACGCACTGTCCCACGTGTGGGCAATTTAGTCACCTGCAGAGCTCCGTGGAGGAGCTGCGACAGAGTTTGGAGGATCTAAAACAAAGGGTATGTTCACACACAAATAGTTGATATTGCGAATCTCACAACTGACACGACTCGCACTGAATCCAGCTAGTGGCTGCAGAAAGTCGCGTTCTGGAGCTCCAGGAGTGCGACTGCCGGAAGTCGTGCGTGCTGGAGAATGGCACGCGCAAGGAGGACGGCGAGGCGTGGGACGTGGGATGCGAAGTCTACAAGTGCGACCGGGGCAACATCAGCCACGGCGCGCGAGTCTGTGATCCTTTACCGTGCAAGCATCCCGTCACCCTGGAGGGTGAATGCTGCCCAAAGTGTTTGAGTGAGTACGCGAAGTCCCTTTCTGCACGTCACTAACTCAGGACGCCCGTGGTGGAGGGGATTGAAGAAGGCTCGTGCTGAGGGCAAATGTCTAGGCAAATTCGGAGGTTTTGTACTTCATTTCAACAACTAACAAATGAAATCAACTGAAGGTTATAGAAAATAATTGGAATTGACTAATATTATCAATTTAATGGACGATAAGAGGGAAAATTTAAGGGAAAATTAGGGAAATTACAAAGTGATTTCAAAAGTCAAACTTCAATTCGCTCTACTGAAGAATGGCGATTTTGACTTAAGTTAGAAGCACAATTTAAAGGACAAAGAAACATTTTTTACCAAGTATTTCCACATAAGATTTCTCAAAGTTTCCTTTTTTCCTTCCCGGATTTGTTTATTTTTTTTCTGCATCTTCTTTGGAAACTAAGTGAAATTATTGTGGAATTCTCTGAATTTGCCTATGAAAACTAATTCTAATTTTTTTGTGTGGCTTTCTTTCTTCTGGGGAAAGTTCTTGCATGTGGCGGATTGACTTACAGCATGATTGAGTGTGTCTTGAACCAATGTTTCCACCTTTTCTTCTTTCTTACAGAAAAGTGCTTCATCAAAAAGCAAGAATTTGAACATGGTGAAAGGCAAATTCTCGGATGCCGCGACTGTTCATGTATAGATGGAAATATGAAATGTGATATATTAGAATGTCCAAAGTTGTCATGCCCAAAGGAGTTGCAATTCTCCGTGACCGATGAGTGTTGCAAGTTCTGTCCAGGTGATTACGATGACAACCACGATGGGAACGATGGTGACGAGAGTCGTGGCGCGGAGGCGTTCGATGAGGACAACTTTGTGAAGCCTATTAAGAGATAACACACGCGCGAACGCACGAAACAGAAAAAAAGAGCTCAAGACATCCTCATGAAACAGATTTGCTAGAAAGAAAGAACAAAAAAAACGCCATAAATCTCCTTGCTTTTGCCAAAAAAAATGATAAAAATGTCCAACTCAACAATTCAAAATGTTACAGTGAGATTGCAAAGTATTTTGATGGTCTCCTTGAAGCATGAGAGAAAAAAAGAAAGAGAGAAAGAGAGAGAGAGAGGAGTTGGTCACGAGCCAAAAAACATTTAATCATCAATCAGGTTTCACTGTACTTGGTATTTGTGTTTTAACAAATTACCTTTCTTAGCGACGGAACAATCATTAGTTAGGACTATTTTTCTATGTATTAATCAATTTCCACATAACGCTTATCATTTGTGACTTTAGATCTTAGATCGACTCTTAATGTTAAGGATATCATCTCATGAACATTCCATTCAAATGCTTTCCATTTTTGGCAATATATTGAGAACAAAATTTGACGATATTCTGGCACAAAACATATGGAAAACCATGAAAATGTCGTACAAAGAGCGCATTAAATTGCTTCAAGAGTATTATTTTTTCACCCCTTAAATTACTGAGAACTAACTTTAAGTATCGCTTTAGATTCTATCTCTCTACCTCTTGTTAACTATCCATATATCCATATATCGATATACTCTACGCATCTGGCCACGCATTTGTGTCTTGCAGCCTCTCTCAAACCACCCGCCATCCTTCCTCATTGTGCGTCTGTAAACATGGGCTCTAAATACCACAGTCTAACAATCATTCTCTTCCCACCTTAACCCATTCTTTCTCTTCATGTAACTTCTGTGCATACTAAACACGCGCCAAATCCGCGGACACAGGAGACGATTACTGCTCGAAAGGTCACGCATGTCATACTAATGCTACGTGTCTTAATCTTAACACCAAGTACACGTGTACCTGTCGTCCGGGCTTCCAAGGAGATGGGTTTCATTGTGAGGGTAAGTGTGACTGATGGACCCGCTTGACTTTCCTCCCTCTGAGACCCTTTCGGGCCCCACTTGTGCTAACCTGGGCTTCAGTATTCTATTTCTAGAGAAGGGTGACTTAGTGGATAGGCTGTGCATGAGTATCCTACTAAATTTGTTTAATCAATCAAGCTTGTTGAAGGCGCGCCTTCACCGCCGAGAGACATTAAGAAAGAACGTACGAAGCTCCACCCATTTGTACGCTCCACCCATTCCACTTACTGAATTGCCTCTTGTGAAGTTCGATGCTGTGCAGCTCCTCCACTAAATCACCCCGCCCACAAATGCCCCTGAGCGCAGGATTTGGCCCGGAGAGCTCTCAGTCTGACCCGCTTTTCTGCTTTGCAGATATCGACGAGTGCGCTCAACAGGGCGGCCTCACGGGCAACCACTGCCACCTGAACACGCGCTGCGTCAACACGTCGGGATCGTACGTGTGCGAGTGCCTACCCGGCTACAGTAGGTTAGACAAATTCAACTGTGTGGAGGTCAACGAGTGCGACACGGGGCAGCACGCGTGTCACGCCAACGCCGAGTGCATCAACACGCAGGGCTCCTACCACTGTCGCTGCCGTCCCGGTTACTCCGGTGACGGCTACGACTGCAAGCGTGAGTATCCCAGTCACTCCAAACCACGCCCATTCGCTCGCTCCGCCCACGCAGAATTCTCAACTCTAAGCTGCTTTTTCTGGTATCTTTTCAGCTGTGTGCAACCAAACGTGCCTAAACGGGGGCCAATGCGTGGCGCCGGGCGTGTGCTCCTGCCGTGTGGGCTTCGTGGGTGCCTCGTGCGAGCAGGACCTGGACGAGTGCTTGGCCGGGATGCATGGCTGCCGTGAGTCGTCCGTGTGTGTGAACATGCCCGGCTGGTACTACTGCAAGTGCAAGCCCGGCTTCCGGACACGCGACACGGACTGCGTGGACATTGATGAGTGCCGCCACGGGACGCACAGTTGCCACGCCACGGCGCGCTGCGTCAACACCGAGGGTCACTTCGAGTGCCATTGTCCTCCCGCCCAAGAGGATCCCAATTGTCGCCTTAGTGAGTTCGCCATTGAGTTCCATGGCGTGATTGACGCTGATTGTGACCCTTTCTCTGCAGGTTGCATGTTCGAAGACAACGAGATTCCGGATGGCGCCAGTGTGTCGCCGCAGAATCAGCCGTGCAAGGTGTGTACTTGCGAGCGCGGCGTGATCTCGTGCGCAGACAAACCGTGCAACTGCTCAGCGTGGCGCGGAGGCGCCGGACGCGATCTCTGCTGCCCACAATGCGACCCCAAGGAGTCCTGCCAGCACCAGGAGCTGAAGCATGTGGTCTTCCAGAGTGGCGAGCAGTGGATCTACCAATGCCAAACATGTGAATGCCTCGTAAGTGGCGCAGATGAGAATCGTCGACAGTGTTGTGTGTCTCTCAACGCATTTTGTCCTTTTTGCAGTACGGGGAGTTCGATTGCTGGAAGTTGGAGTGTCCGCCGCTGACGTGCAGCAATCCGCTGCCTCTGCAGCCGGGCGACTGCTGTCCGCGCTGCGAGGACGACCCCTGCAACTTCTTCGGCAACGAGACGAGCGGCGCTGCGTCGGCCGGCAAGCCGTGCTCCTACCAGGGCCACGCCATCGCCTCCGGACAGACCTTCAACGATCCCTCCAGCCAGTGCACCACGTGCGCGTGCAAGGTAATGCCCCGTCCATCCGCACTCTCGCTCATTCTCTCTTTCCTCCCACCGACCCACGCGCGGGCAGTTGATGGGGAGCCAAAGGGAATCTCTATAGCGAATTTGCTCTCATTAACCACCATTAATTGTGCCTCTATCAGTGTTTAACTAGGCATGAGCCATAATTTGTCGTTTCTAATACTTTTACCATACTTCATTTTGTTGTATTACCTTGTTTTTATTCGCTAGGAGCCGCTATGCTGCCGCTAATATTAACACAAAAAGAGAGAAAATCTGTGGCAAAATATTAATATGATTCTAACCATGAGCGCCGATAAAAAAAGCCCACTAAAACTGTGACTTGCGAATGAATGATGGTAGATTTTAAAGAAGAGCAATTGGACGTTAATCTTTATCTTAGTGAGTTACTTGTTGGAACGTTTTATTCGTTGCCTCTATAGAAGTCTTCATGACACGTTCGGCTGTAGAAAAGTGAGAGTTCGAATGATGAGTATTTGTGGTATTTGTAATGTTCTTCAACACTGAGAGAAAATGCGAAGCAAATTTCTAATAATTGCACCGTGAGATCGATTGTCATGCAAATGCGGTATTTGATTTCTTCTGCAGTTTTAATACGGTACAATTGGGCGGGGCATGTGAGTGGGCGTGGACAAGAACAAAACAGTCAATTGACATTGGTTTTCTCTCAGTGTTGCATTTGAATATTCAACGAATTCAACGGACTTGATGAAATCAATGAACTGATCATTCGATCTTCTCACATGATGATTTGCGCGCGGAGAATCACTGTTAATGTGATTGAAAAGCTTAGAAAGCTTCTTCCCAGACGAAGAGGAAGGAATCGTGCTGTGTTTTCTGACATGAAATCACGTTGGAGGAAAATTTATTATGAGAAAAAAAAAGAACACACTCGAAGTTTCCGCTGATCTTCACGTGTTTGCATTTATAATGTTTTGAAATCATCAGCCCATTTTTGAGACTCATTCAATGTGACTTTCATGGTTCTCGCCTCTCTCACGGTGCATTTCCCGGGGCGGGACAGGCTCTCAGTTGTGGGGATAGGCCGTCATCTTGTGTGTGAGTGAGAGAGAGAGAGAGAGAGAGTGAATGAGAGAGGAAAACACAGCGCCAAAGTGTAACGCCTGCGAATATTCTTCCAGGTCCCCTACTGTGCCCAACTGGTGAGCAATTCCGCGTGTTGTGTGCATCGGTAAAAAATCACTCTTTAACTACACTAACTCGCTTTTCTTGTTCAGTTTCTCAAATGAAAGCTCCCTCGGGTTCTGCCTGTGCCGCCTTGTGTCCCGCTTCTGGCGCTGCACTTCGTGTGGCGACGCCGGAAAAGGGCCGCAAAGGCGCGACGAGGAAAGCCCGAGGGAGATTTGTTGACGTTTTTCCTTAGTTTTTTTTTCCTTTGTGATTTACTTTTCACATTTATTTTCGTCGAATTTTTCCGTTAAGTTCAAGTATTTCCTCAGTTGCTGATGAACACAGTTGATTTTATTCCACTTTATAGTCTTTATCATAATTGCCAAATATACACTTTTTCTGCTATTCGGTTGAAAGTTCGAAATATGGGTATATATATATATATTTACAGTGGAACCAAATGAGTTATTCTAGCGATGATGGTCGAAAATGGGGAGTTTCTCATGCGAAAAATCGCTCAGAATCTCCCCAATTTCGATATGGAAAAACTGCTCCTGGTTTTTTTTTTGTTTTTCATCTTGAATTTCTAACCAAAAATGATAGAAGCGAGAAATGTGCTTCGAGCTCAAAATGCTTAAGCTTTTTTGTCTCTGTGACTCATTTGTTGTTGACTTTTTTGTGGTGTCGAAATTCTAACAATGTTACATATATATATATTTTATCTGTGCGACAAACTAACCAATATTTTTTGTCATATACCCAAAAGAAGACTTTCATTGCTTTGAAATAATATTAATGCAAAATTGCCAAGTAAATTCCGTAATTTTTATCGATTTCAATTACACTATCAATCTTTAATCCTTATTTGGTGGTTTTTTTTCATTGAGTTTTAAACTGTATTTTTGATTTTATTGAATTTTCCTATGATTTCTCTGTGACTTTCAACAAATTTTTGTTACATCTTTCACACACAAAAAGACCTCTCACGAGATTGTTTAACATATTAGCAAAAAATGCACCTCTATGATCACTTATTCATCTCACTTTATTCACATTCTGAGAGAGGATAATATTTTTTCTAAATAAGTTTTGATATATATTTTTCAAAGTTTTTTCAATCACGGAAAATGAAAAGAAAAAAAATGCAGCACGGGCACAATTTTCGGCATGTTGCAGCGCACTTTTCCCCGCAAAGCGCGAAAATTCGTCTCTTTTTCTTCACTTTCGAACGTGTTTTCTATTTTATTGTTCGAAAATACAAAATCGACGAAGATTCGATGTTAGATTGCATGCTAGGCATGATCCACAGAAGCACCATCACACTTACTTCTAGTGCTAAATGGAATTCTTACAGCGATAAGATAGATGATAGAAGTATTAATATAATGTAGTGATTTTTATTCATAGATTGTGCCACTTTTATTAGCATCGTAAAACTTTTGGGGTGCTACAACTCGAAGGATGGCGAGAGAAAGGGCAATTTCATGACTGTGCGGATATTACATTTGATTCTGGAATAATTTGGGCGCATTTTACTCACTCGTTTTCTTTATCTTTTCAATTTCTCAAGGATTTTTTTCCTCATCTTTATTCACCTTTACTGTATGGTGAAGTTCATACAGTGGTGTAGTTTATTAAAAATATAGTGGAATTTTCATGTTGGTAGAATTTTTTTTTTCATTTGGTATTTTTTTCATTGGGTATTTTCTTTTGTATTTCTGAATCCAAAACCGCCCTCGAGTTGTGCACTTCAAGAGACTTTTCGACATTTTGCACTGTGATGGATAGAATAAATACTCTTGCGCACCATTATTTGGTAGACAGTTTTGACAAGCGTGTGTGTGACAGTCTTGACAGCTGTCAAGGTTGGCACACATTTTGAAGTTGTAACGGAAGAAGAGCAGACGTGAGAATAACTGAAAGTGAAAGAAAAATCGTGAATAAGATAAAGCGACGATTGGACACTGAATCAGTGTGAATTAATGCACCTAAAAATGGCTTGCCTTAAATCCAGGACGGGCGTCTCTGCTGCAGCTTTGGCAGCTCTTGCGCTGACCCTGCTGATCACCACGGATCTGCAGTCACTGAAGCGTCTCATCGCCATTTGGCACCGCAAGCAGCGTCCGCTGAGACGCCCACGCCTGTCCCACTGACATCCTTGCTGAGGCCCGCGGGCCCGCCGACGCGCTCGCCCGGCGTGTGAGCGAGAGATAGTAGAGCCCAGGAGATGGCGCGGCGAGAGTCTGACCTGTCGGAGCCACGATGATACTTTGCAGGAAAAAGTAAACACCATGATTCAAATTGAGATGAGATGATGAGAGAAGAGTGCCGCTGAAGAAGCCTCGAAGTATGGAAAGTCACACTTTAATTAACAAATGGATTCTATGAAATGAAATGATTATTAAATAATACTGTTGCATTGACATTCCTTTGTGCGGATAACTTTTATACAGACACCCAATGTTTGTTGTGTTGTACACAAAACGACAAAATACCTTTTCACTCTCATTGATTTTGTTGTAAAGTTTCATGGGAAAAATGTGTCACTTTAGTACCGTTTTAGTACATAATGGTACGTTTTGTTTTTGTATGAATTTTTGTATGTAAATTTCTTCTGTATAGCAAACGTACGTCCTATTTAAATGTCAAATGAGGGAAGAAGTGTAGGATTTATCAATTGAAATCAACCAAAATGTCTATTTGTCTTCTATTTATATTTGAATTATTTGTGCAAATCTTTGTTTTTTTTTAGTACTTCATTGCATGTTCCTTTGAATTTATTGGAAAACTAAGGGATTAATATTTTTGGAAGAGAACCACGTCAAATTTACCAAAAAATGTGACGTTTTTGTTCCTGATGCGAAAAGTGAGGGAAAACATTTTGAGATGAACAAAAAACAGCAAAAAAAATCAAGCTTTTGCGACAACATTAAGAAAGAGAAAAAAAACTTGTTATTTAATTCTAGATGAACCCAAACTCCCGTTTAACGAAGAACATAGTTTTAAAAAATGCGATTTTGAACAAAATTATTGATGAGAAATCCCACAAGAAGAAAAAAAAGCGGAAAAATATGCATAGAACTTTCATGCTAAGCGACGTTGGGCGGTGAGAAACAAGAAATAAGAAAAAAAGCACAAATATTTAAACAAAAATTAAAAACATGTTAAATAACTTTTAGTTCCTTCATTGTCTTTTAGATGTAAGAGCGCGAGCGCGATTGAGAAAATAGTGTGAATTTGCGAATTTCTTTCTTTTCCAAAAACATAAAATAAGCAAAAAAAAACAAAAATATTATATTATAAAGTTTTTCACAATTGAAAAGAGATGAAAAGTAAGGGAGAATTAGTGAAATGTGTATGGAAAATTCATGAAATTGTCCATGAATGTTAGTGTATTGATTAAAGAAAGGAAGTAATAATTGAAGAAAATAAACTTTAACAATTAATTATGAAGTCTTTTAAATGCCTTTTTGTGTGAGGCGACAAAAAACAACCCTTCCGCTGAGGAGGGGGGAGAAGAAATTGCACTCTTGTAAATAGAGGAAGAAGATAATTAATGAAGAAGAAGAAATCAAGTAAATATAAATGAGAGGAAATATTTAAATTAAAGAAATAATGTTTTAATTTCACTTAAGCCTTGTGTTAATCAATTTTGATGGATTTTGTATATAGAGAACAAATACTTAAAAAATGAATTAACAGATAATAAATATTTATTACACTGAAGGAGGGGAGAAAGAACACAAAGGAGAAATTTAGGCGTATTGAAAAATTAAAAAAAAAAATTTGAGAAAAGTGAAAAGTAAATCAAACATTCAATTACAGAAATTTCTAAATATTAAAAAAAAAAATGAAAATATCTCACAATTTTTTCATCACTTCTCAACAAAGATTATTATCTTTTGACGAGCGTGAAGAAAGGGAGAATGACAAGGAGACCTATTTAAAAAGTAATCTATTAACAACATTGATGATGGAAATGAAGAATGGAGACTACGTATTAATAATAAAAAAAAATGAAGAAAAATTAGCACAAATAAAAATAATTCTTGTAAATTTTGCGATAGATATAAAATATATTATAAATATTTAAAAAGAAAAAAAATATATTGTTAACTATGTATAAACAGACGCGAGGAAGAATAAATGAAGGATGTGGAATTAAATTGGAGGAAATTGTGACAGAAAATGCAACTCTTTAACAGCAAAAAAGGAAACTAGAAAATAGAAGAGAACTAAAGAAAAAAAAATGAACAGAGAATCAGAGATGAAAATCGAAAATTTACCAACCAGAACACATTATCAGAAATTTTCCCCCTCTTTCCCATGACAAGAAATGCTCACAGCAAAAGCGCCAATTTAGTGAGAAAGAAATTGAAAAAAAATATAACTTTTATCATATCTTGAAGTGAAAAAATGCCACGAAAACCACTAAACTAAAAAATTCACTAAAAGACGATTTGATGGGGTGGAAAAAAGTACTTTTTTATATAGAAGAATTAGGAATTTATGAAAATATAGTAATGAAAAAGAAAATCATGTTTGACTTTTCTTGCATAAATTTGACACTCAAAATATAAAGAACAAAAAAAATTACTTCACTAGAGAAAATGAATAATTTTTCGTGATAAAATTACCTTCTTTTTCTACACACAAAGATTAAATAAATGATGAAAAAAAGCATTAGTTTTCGAGTTGAATGTTGTAGATTTTTGAAAAATTAAACTCACTGTGAAGAGAATTTAATTTATTTTTGACTTTTTTTTGTGTATATTTATTGAGTCGAGGCGGAGATGATGAGGAAAATTGCTGAAAGAAATCACTTTAATTTTTGGAGATGATTGAATGTGCGGCAAGAGTCCCACGTAAATTGCTAGAATGTTTGTTTTTCTTCCATAAAATCAAAAAAAAAACACGATATTGTAAGAAATATTTTCTGCGAGAATTGAGAAAAGAGGCACTGCAATAAAACGATTGATTTTCACGGTGGGAAAAACACTCTGTCTCTTTCTATGGTGCTGAAATGCATTGTAAACTACTTCTTTTATTTTTAAATATTGAGAAGAAAATGGAAAATATTTCTAATATTTGCTAGTCATTGTGAAGTTGAAACGGGAGAAAGAAATGAAATTCAATTCGAGAGGAAGTTTCGAGAGGCAGAAGAATGAAAAAAAAAGTGGAGGCGAGAAACCTTTAAGAAATATTATTTTTATTACAATAAAGTATAGTTTAGTAATTGCGATGACGAGAGCGAAAGGGGAAAAGAGAGTTAAATATGAGGGAGAAATGAAAGAGAGAGAGAGAGAGAGAGGAAGAGGAAAATTTTATTTTTAAAGAAACAAGAAAAATAATAAATTTGATGATGAAGAAATAAATGAGTATAACTGACACATTGATTTTGTTATAATATAATGTGTGCCAATTAATATTTAGTGAATAATAAAAATAAATAGGCTGCATTCTATTCATCGTTTCCTTTCTCAGAATCTCGAGAACGCGGCATTTTTATAAACTTCTTTCACAACCCATTTATTCTACTCTGTCTTTCTCAATTCACTTTTCCGTGTGTCGCAAATGAGAAAAAAAACATCCAGTAAATTGAAGTCGAAATCAAAGCGAGAATACTGAAATTTTAGGTTTTATTGGGATGTCTAAGTCATCAGGAGAATTTTGCTAAAGACTCTTTTCATTAATAAATCGATCATAAAGTGCGAGACTGACTTTTTCTCTTGGCGGATTTGCAGCACATACTGAAGGTTTGGAAAATGAAAATATTTCACAAGATACATTTTATGTGTTGGATTATTTATTGCTCGATTTATTTTGATTGTCAGATTAATAAGCGCAGAATTGCTGAAGAACAGCACAAAGTTTGAGAAACTCTGCATTTTCTCACTCGTTATAGTTCAAACGAGTCTCTCGGTTTTGCCTACCTTCAGGCGAATCTACAGATAAAAAATGCATTCAAATCGCTCTTTTCGTCTATTCTTAGAAAATACATTTTACAACAAAGTATATATAATTTAATAACAATCGTCCTACTCAACGGCCCACGCTTCCTCGAAAGCGCTGCAGAGCTTCGTGCACGTGAGCGCCGCCGAGAGTGGGAATTTGCTGATAGACACCGACGCTTCTGTGTAGTCCACGTCCACGTTCCCATGCGCGAACGCTCCGATCACCACCACAATCGGCTGATCCTTGGGCACCAGTTCTCTGCAGTTGCTGACCAGATCGCCCGTGAAGGACATCGTGAGTTTCTTGCAGCCGGCCGGCAAGTGATTCGCGATGGGATTCTTGATCACCTTCAGCAGCTTCTCGCCAGTCGTCGTGTCCGCGCGGATGCAGAACTTGTTCAACAGCTGCACCATCATGCCGGCGAAGCGCTTGAACGTGCGCGGAATTCGAGTGGCGGGATTGATCTCGATCAGGACGTTCTGGTGCGTACGAATAAACACCTGAAGCAATCCGGCGCGGTTCAGCGGACTGTCCAGCAGCATCAAGAGGGATTGATGGGTGATGTCTGGCCGACAAGAGGCGGCAGTGCGATTGTGCTTCCGCAGAATTGATGTGTGATCATCGCAGTTCAACAGCTCGAACACATTCCCAACCTGGAAAAACGGCGGACAGAAAACATTGTGAGAATGCCGACGCTTGGCCAGCCGGGTAGTCAAAATCATGTCATGTGTGAGGTTATGCGTTCTGCGTCGCGTCGAAAATCGATAAGCACATCTCGGGCGGTGTTTGGGCGATTTCTCACCTTCGTGACCTCAAGTTGAGCCCCCTCGAGCACGACAATCAGTTTTCTCTCGTTCAGGCACACGAGGCTTCCCTTCTTCCTCTCGATCTCCGGCGTGTCGTCTGACTCCACAAAAGCAGGCGCTTTGCGCTTCTTTCCGTGCTTCATAGCTCACTATTTTGTGTTCACGATCCTCACAGACAAACTTCAAAGATATAACTGCGTGACACACCGTGCAGAAGTGTTGTTTTCACGTGAAAATCACCAACATATGCTGATGATTGACGGTGCGACGGAAACCCACCAACGGCAATTGGTCGATGAATTTAATCGAGAATGATTGTGAAGTAATCGAAAGAGAAAATGTCTGAACTTCCGACTTCGAGTTTATGTGGGAAAAATTGTGTAAATTTGTGAAAATTCACTCTCAAATTGGCGATAAGAGTGTGTGAAAAATCATGCTCGAATTTTCCACGATGCATGCTGCAGGTATTTCGCAAGGTGATGCAACATAAAGTGGTGTTTGGTGGAAAATTGTCGCGTCGTGATGCGCTTTTGCCTCGAAGACTGTGAGAGGAAAAGGCGAACTGCGAGTGATATTAGTTGGTGAAAACGATTGAAAAATCAATCGAAGAGACCCTATATCGTCGCAAAAGTGTCCTATCCGTGCGTGAAATGGTGTGTTTGATGCGCCCAGTATGCGGATGTGCGTGAAAAAGGTGGAAAACTGAGACGCGTGAGGTGGGAAGTGTTGTGTTATGCGGCAGCTGCTTCTGGAACCTTTTCACGAGCGACGCCGCCATAGCAGAAAGCACCTTCTCGACTGTGAAAGCCTCTCCCGTGAGTTTTTCACCCGCATTCCAGTCCTCTTTTCCCACTGTGACCACACAGAAAGTGCTCATGGGGCCACGGGGGTGCGACTGGGGGTGTTTGTGGCGGGTCCGGGGGCACAATTAGGGGGGAAAAGTGAGCAGAGTGGCCAAGGGTACTCCGGCGACGCATGAAATCGCGCTTCTGACATTTGTCGGACAGCCCGCCATATTAGCAATTGAAAATTTTTGCAAGGACTTTTTGGGCCTTTCCGCAGGCTCTGCGGCCCCAGTTGAAGTGTCTCTGTGATCCGTGGGGCGCAAGGAAGCGTCTAATGTTGCTCTGTAGAGTGTTAAAAGTTGTAAAATCGCAGCAAATGCGGTTGAAATTGAAGGTGATTGTTTACAAAAATCTCTTAAGAAGTGGGGCCCCTCTTAGCCAAAGCGAACCGTCCCGTGCCAATAGCCTGCTATAGTACACACATTCTGACGAAGGAGCACCCTCTAGGGGTGCAGGAGCCCACGTAGCGCCCCAAATGGTCAAGGTCCCGGCAGGTTTTGTGGAAATTTCGCCTCTGGTGGCCCATGAGCACCTCCCTTTTCGCGCCATCTTCCAAAATGTCCGAGAATCACGCCTCGAATCTCTTACAGACTCGGCCGGAGGTGATGCGACTCACCAGATGATCTGTGGACACTTTTAGAGAGACTTTGTGAGAACTGAGAGTTTGTGTGTTGTGAAGAGCCCAAGGGAAGCCACAGCTTGGGCATCATGCAGCAAGGATCTGATCCCATTGCCGACTCCAACAATTTCACGGTGAGTCGGGGCGCCTGGCGTTGAGTGCTTCCGGCCAGCCCGGAAGAGTTTGAGGGCCATTGCGAGAGATGTTCAATGACGGCGTGTGCGCCAAAGTGGCGGCACGCAAGCCAATGACGGCCAGTTTCACGTGAGATTTCACGCTTTTTAGGCGGTATTTGATGAGTGTGGATTTTTGGCAAATTTGTGAACTCGAAACATTATGGTGAAAACACAGCATTTGTAATTTGTAATTTGTTCACGATCATCTCTTTCTTCCCCACGCGTATCGTGTATTTTCCTTCCTACTCGCACAGTGGCTGTCTCGACATGTCAGAGTCAGACGCTGACAAAGTAGGAAGGAAAATACACGATACGCGTGGGGAAGAAAGAGATGATCGTGAACAAATTACAAATTACAAATGCTGTGTTTTCACCATTACGATACAGTTCAATGAGAAATCGCAGCGCGATCGGATGTTTTTGCGATAAATTCTACTGGCTCAAGTTTAGGGCGGGAAATGTCAAATTGAGCGGAGACTGTAAACATTCTATTAAATCACGCATCTGGAATTGAAGAGTGTAATGAAAAATAAGAAAAAACCATAATAGAGAAAGCAATCAATGATAAAATACACAAAAATAATGTTATTGTGAGAATCAATGCAAGCTAAAGTACTCGACAGAATTACGGCTTAAGTTGAGAGGCGACTTAAATTGCTTTAAGCTCGAAAAAGTCATGCATTTTGCGAAAAAAAAGATTTACGCTATAGAGGAAAATGCAGTTCAAAGCAAAATAGTTTTGGCGGGAAAATAGTCTCATTTTGCAATCTTTTAAAACTAAACACTACAGTTTTTCCAAGGAAATTAAAGTCTTAATGTGCGGAGATCAGGAGGGAATTCAGGAATATGCGTTAAATGTAAATATCTATTGGATAAATTTAACAATCGTACTGAATATTTTCTATAGAATTCATGGCAAATTAAGCTTCGTCGAGTACATCTCTTATTTTAAGAGATGTGATTTCCGATCTCTTCATAAAAGCGCGAAATTCTTCCTTCTGCTTGCATATCCAGAAATTTATCAGTTGTGAATCAACCGCTGAATATCTCAATACTGTATTTTGTCGAGGTTTCAATTCCGATGTGTAAACATTATTCCACTATTGACAGGGGGATTTTTCAAGAGCAGAAACAATATTTATATTATGTTGTTACTCTTTGTTATGCTAAGCGTGCTGTAAAATTGATAAGGCAGCGTCTCTCGCTGAACTTGCAAATCTCACAGAATCTCTTTCCCGCCGAAAGTGAATCTCTGAGAGAGTGAGAAATTGGCGGCCGATTTCGCCGACTTGATTTCTGGGTCAAATTATTGGTTGTTTTGGGGGCACTTTTTGGCGGAGTGAAACGAAATCTCTTCTGTATTTTACAGTCTGGCCCCGCGAAGATGGAGGCGGTGAAGGAGTCGCAGACGCGAGGTGAGCCTCACGTGGAGCCAGTGAATGGCGTCGTGCAGCCGCCGGTTGTGCCGCCGCCAGATCGGCCGGGGCGCAAGACGAATCAGCTGCAATTCCTCCTCAAGACGGTGATCACGGCGGTGTGGAAGCACCGGCACTCGTGGCCATTCCTGCAGCCCGTGGACGCCAAGAATCTCAATCTTCCCGACTATCACAAGATCATCAAGCAGCCGATGGACTTGGGCACAATTAAGAAGCGCCTGGAGAATAACTACTACCAATCGTCGAAGGAGTGCATTCAGGACTTCAATATCATGTTTTCGAATTGCTATGTGTACAATCAGCCCGACGAGGATGTCGTGCTGATGGCGCAGATCCTCGAGAAGCTCTTTCTGAACAAGGTCCAGCGGATGCCGAAGGAGGAGATTGAGATTGAGTCGTCGAGCAAGAAGAGCGGCAAGAAGAAGGCGCGCCCTATTGGGCCGCCGGGGACGCTGATTGGTCCGGCACGGGGGCGTCCCAATGCGACGCCCTCCACGACGCCTACGGCAATGATGGGCAGCACTGTGACGTCCACGGGTGGCGTGCCGCCAAACTCAACGGCGCCCGCCGTGGCCGGGCTGCCGTTGGTGCCGCCAATGGGGATTCCCGGCAGCACGAACACCACAACGACTGCTACAGCAGCGGCACCGGGCGTCGGCACGGCCCTGAGCTCTGCACTCCCTCTGCCCGCCACCGGTGGCCAACAGGCGCCGTCATCCATGATAAGCACGTCAACGGCGCCGGCGGCCGGCGGGCAGCAACCCGCGGCAGCGGCCCAACCGCCGCCGCCCTATCACGTGAATCTAAACAGTTCGCAGCAGACACTGCTGGACTCGGTGATGCCGCCACAGCCGGTGAAAGTGAAAAAGGGCGTGAAGAGGAAGGCGGACACCACCACACCCACCACGGCGACCACCTTTGACTCGCACTACACGCCCGGCAGTGGAAATGACTCCAAGAAGATCGCCACGAGACGAGGGAGCGGCCGTCAAGTGAGTATCCTTGCTGTTAGAATCCTTAGAACTGGTGAATGACTGGAAGATCAGAAGGCAGATTTGATTGTTTTTCTGTTCACTGATCATCCACGGCATTCAAGAATGCACGTGTTTTTGTTTATGTTGGCTCACAAGAGCAGCAATAGAAAGAATCGCTTTGAAATTCACATGCGTGAAATTTATAAGTGAAATCTATTCATAAATCTTGTCGGTTGAGCGGAATATGAGCTACGCGTAAAGTATTGCACTCTGCGTATAGCTTTTCTTCCCCAATTCTCTGAAGATTCACGTGCTTATATTGTGTGTCAAATGCGCGATATGTAGGCTAATAAGGAGATGCCATCATTTCAGTCGACGCCGTACCCCAAATCTCCGATGACGTCCACTGCGGGCGCGTCCGCTGGTGTCGGATCAGCCGGTGGTGGGGCGCCGAAGAACAAGGAGAAGCTGTCTGAGCCGCTGAAGGCGTGCAATGAGATACTGAAGGAGCTGTTCAGCGAGAAGCACATCAGGTATGCGTGGCCATTCTACAAGCCTGTGGACGCCGACCTGCTGGGTCTGTACGATTATCATGACATCATCAAGAAGCCAATGGATTTGGGCACGGTGAAGCTCAAGATGGACAACAGGGAGTACAAGACGGCGCAGGAATTCGCGGCGGACGTGAGGCTGATCTTCACCAATTGTTACAAATACAACCCCAAGGATCACGATGTCGTGGTGATGGGCAGGAAGCTGCAGGATGTGTTCGAGATGCGCTACGCCAATATACCCGATGAGCCCGTAACGAATGTGGGCGCCAGCGGCGCGGGGCCGGTGTACGGCGGCGCTGGCGGCAAGGAGAGCTCCTCCAGTAGCGGCGAGTCGAGTGACACAGACATGGAGTCCAACTCGGATGAGGAGCGCAGCGCCCGGCTGAAGGTGCTGCAGTCGAAGCTGGTGGATCTGCAAGAGGAGATGCGAAAACTCGTGGAGGAGTCCACGAACAAGAAGAAGGCCAAGAAGAAACTCAAGGAGAAGAAGAAGGTCACACCAGTGGGACCGGGAGCACCGACTGCGACAGCAGGTGAGTCTCTGTTCTGGCACTTTTCAGCCTCTCTCTCTCTGCAATCAATGGACGCACATATCAAAGGGTGGTGGAATTGAATTCTGTTTGAACACCTGTTTGAAGTGAGAAGAGATGAAATTGAATTACAAATTGCGTTGATGTATTTACAAAGTGCGATGCAATCACGGCAGTTTGCATTTCAACGCTGCCGGTGATTTTTTTGTCCCTTGAAAAGTGAAATGAAATATAAAGCAGAACTTTAAAATATATTGTGGGGAGATTTTGTGATGCATTGCGCTGCAAATTTTTATCATGACTAGAAATAATTGAATCTAACGGAGCTTTCATTGATGTAATCAATATCTCTTGTTATCTTTTGCCTGCAGCTCTTGTTTTCTAGTCAAGATATTCGATTGTGTTACAGTGATTTTTGATATTTCATTATGTCCTCAAGTTTCAGAGTTTTACTGATGTTTATTCAACCTACTCTAGGCTGAATTCAATCCACATTGTGCTAAGGACATTTTTGAGTGAGGATAAATAAGTTATCTGCGTAAAATATTGCGGTATCTTTAATGTGTTAAGAGAACACATCCTGTTCTCATCACTGCAATGCCACAATCACTGTATAGATTGGCAATGCAAATGATATTTGGAGTGTGTTTTATACCGCTTGTTGCCTGTCTGTCTGTCTCTGTGAGGGTGTCGTAAAGCAGTGCATAATGTGAAGACTGACAGAATTGTTTAAAATAGAATTTATTATCAGAATATTCTGTATTTTCAAATGGCACATTATGAGTTGATGCCACAGTTTAATGAGCATAATCATTTGCTGTGTACTTTATACTTTATGTGATGCCAATTTTGCAATTGAGAATCGTAACGACTCTGACTCTCTTTGGCATTTGATGCTTGCTTCGATGGGAAATGGAGGGAAAGCGAAGGAGAATGAAGAGGCTTTGCGTGTGGGAGGAAGGCTGATGGGATGTTTCTTTTGCTATTGCAGGTCACTCGAGTGTAGGGAAACAAATTAGTCAAACTGCTGGTCCAAATGCCCACTCGATGGCGATGCAGGTGCCGCTGAGTGCGAACGCCAAGGGGGCGAAGGTGAAGGGCCAGAGGGCGCCCAAGTCCGCCACCGTCGTCAATTCGGCGCAATCAACGAAGAAGGTGAAGGCGGCCAGTGGCAGTGGCGGCGGTGGAGTTCGTGGGCCGGGCAAGAAGAAGCAGATAGCGACGCACAATTTTGACTCGGAGGAAGAGGACACGGCCAAACCAATGTCGTATGACGAGAAAAGACAGCTATCGCTGGACATTAACAAATTACCTGGTGAGTTTGCACTGTTTTTCTTTTCTTTTTTTTTGCCGGGAAGGGGGAAATGAGCCTTTGAGATCGCTTATCGTATGACCTTTCGCTTTTGCAGGAGACAAACTCGGAAGAGTTGTACATATAATACAAAGCAGAGAGCCATCCTTACGTGACTCCAATCCGGATGAGATTGAGATTGACTTTGAGACCCTGAAGCCGTCAACGTTGCGCGAATTGGAGAATTACGTGGCGTCGTGTCTTCGCAAAAAAACTCGTAAGCCTTACTGTAAGTTCCTGCCAATGACACACACTGCTTTTCGAAAAGAAAAAAAGAAAAGAATACAGAAAGAATAATGATAAAGAGATACAGAGAATGACTGAGAGATACACTTTGAAAAGAAAATATGTATATTGTAAAGATCACAGGATTTGGAAAAAATTCTAGAGAAATGTTGTAACATTAGTGGACATTTTCTTATTCAATTGATTGATTTTAATTATTACATTGTTATTATTATTTTGCCCACGAAGTGATCCTTTCTCTACTATTTTCTCTTGAAACACATAAGCTCTAAAAGACAAAAACTGTTTATTCACAAGACTTTTTCGTTAACATTTTGTGTTATCTATACTTTTCCTTTTGTGTTTGCTATTTTTTTTTTATATTTGTTTACTAATATCACACATATTTATAATTTTTACATTGCAAAAATAGATTTTGTAATTAAAATCCTGTGTAAAATTCTCACTAGTTAGCTTCTTCTTTACCTCATCAATCGTCAAACAAATATCCAAGTGTAAATAGATTAAAAATTGAAGAGAAATTTAGTGAAAATATTGAAAAAACACATTTTTGAGAAGCATACCAAAGAAACTCAAAATGAAAGATTTGAAGTAGTGTTCGTGTGATTGGATGAACTACAAAATCACTTTAAATTCACAAATTTTTAAATTATTATTACAATTTTTGTCGTAGTTTGATATTTCTACATCATATCATTGTGGTTATTTTTCTTTGAGAAAATCCTTAAAGTCGGCTTAGAAACAATACTTTATGCCTCTTTAACATGTTATAAAAAGAAATAAGTATTTATGGTTATGAAATAATTATCTAATACAATTGAGATAATATTTTTGCATGCTAGCAAACTTTGTACGTTTTCTTAACTGTTTTTGCTTGTTTCTGTAACTAATCTCAATGGAAGGTGGAAATATTTTTACTTTTTTAATTAACCAGTGATTTAATATGCCATTTCTAAATATTTATGGATAGAATATTGGTGGAATTGTATTGAGAATGGATTTCAACATTACTTAAATTACTTCACTTCGTTCTACAAATAACATTGGGTAAAGTTTTGGTACAATTAAATGATAATTGTATAAGACAAATTGGCACATTTGTGAAACTACAAGATTCAGTATGAATTTGTCTGTTGAAATCCAATTCAGAGAAATGAAATTGGAAATGAAGTTTACTTGCTTCTTCTGTAGTTGATGGAATTAGTGGACATTATGTGATGATGCTGAAGAAAGTGAGAGAGAGAGAGAGAAAGTGGCTGAATTGTATCAATTTTTGGATATTCCTATCATTGCAGATAAGAAGATGTCGGGAAAATCAAAAGACGAGCAAATGGCAGAGAAAAAACAGGAGTTGGAAAAGCGACTTCAGGATGTCACTGGACAATTAGGGACGTCCAAGAAAGCAACGAAAAAAGGTAGAGAGAAAACACGTGAAGGCTGACAATGTGGAATCCTTTGCTGAACTCGAAACGCTCTTCTTTGCCTCTTTGCAGATGACGCGTCGAAAGTCGATGTTGTCCCGTCGGGACGACTGTCGTCGAGCAGTAGTTCCACCGACTCGTCGTCGTCAAGTTCGAGTGACACAAGTAGTAGTGATTCCAGCGATAGTGAAGCAGGTTAGATACAAAAATAGACACACAATTAATAGATTAAAAAGAAATTTATAATTCTATAGAGGAAAAGTGGGTTGAGAAAAGGAGCACAGAAAATGTGCTTTTGTCTTCAACGAGAGATAAATAATTTATATATTACAAAGAGAGTTATAGGACAAGTATTGAAAGGAGGAAAAAGAAGAAAAAGAAAGAGATAAAATCTACGCAAAATATTTAGTCATTCATATTAATTTCGTCATTGAATAATATAATTCATTTCTTTATGTGTGAAAAGAAGAACGATATTTCAAAAAAACCATTGCTAAATTATTAATATAAAGTGTTTGTACAAGTTGTAGTTCATTTTTGAGGAAGAAATCAATATTGAAAAAAAAAAATCATGTTAGGAAAATTTTGTTCAATTGTCATCATAACTGAAGAAAAAACTCACACACACATTTCTAGGCGTTTAAGGAATTCAGATGCAAATAAATAAAAAGATGATGTACAAAGATTAACAGTGAGGACATCAGAGTGTGACAACTGTGGAATTCTTCATTGGCAAATTGATTATACAAATTTGAAAGTTATTCTGCTAGACGAACATTGATGAAGTGTTTTCGCAGCCTTTTAGATGTTATCAAACGTGCAGAGAAGAAAGGTGTAGGAGATACAATATTTGTAACGTTAACACACACACAATTCAAAGACCTCAAAGAACATGGAAACTGATATTTAATGCGTATAAATGATAGAATTACTATTGTATTCTGTGTAAGGCAAAGATAAATAGGAAGTCTTGTTAGGCCATTAGTTGTTAGTTGTTTTTTTTCTTTTCTTTCCTCAATCCAAATCAAAAATTCAATGCTGTCGCTTTTAAGAACCATCAACATTTAATTCTCTACAATTTACAGCTTATTTATTATATTATTCTATTACTAGCGCGCGCGGTGGAAGTATTTGTTAATTTACTGCCACATGTTTTATAAGTTATTGACGATTTTTCTCTCTTTCGTCATCAATTTCATTTTCCCAGCAAATCAAATATTTTTATTGCTTTCCTTTGTGACAATTGCGGCGCTTCAACAATGCATTTATGAAAAGAAGAAGGAAAAAGGGATGATAATAGGACAAGCCATAGTTAACTTGGGAAGAGCAAATAATTCTCCATTTATTATTTACTTTTGTGTGTGCGTGTTTTACATAGCAGAACATGAGAAGAGAAGAAGAAGAAAAAAGTCTATTATGCACTAAAAGCCTAAAGAATACTGAGAAAGCATAGATTTTAACAGTAAAAAAAAGCAAATTACACAAGAAAGGCATTATTAAAGTTTTCCGGAGAGCAAGAAGAAAAACATTCAAGTAAAGAAACAATTTAACATTAATTAAGAGAAAAAAGAAGAAAAGATGAGAAAAACACAGAAATATATTTAAAAACAAAATATACTTAATGTATATGTGTATAAAAATAATCTTTAAAGAAGAAGAAGAGAAAGTATTACTAAATGTAAATATAGGAGAGAAGGAAGTGAACAATGAGACACACAATATTTAGTAATGTAGGATTTTTTTCTTTCGAAAGTAGATTTTCAATTATACTTTCCTATATATATTTTTTTTCTAATTTTTCTGTAGAACAGAATATTTCATTTTCCAAAACATATAAAGTTAAACAGAACAGTAAAAAAAAACCAATGTAAAATGCAGTTTTTATCTCTAAAGAAAATTAATTGAAGAAAAAATCATTGCTTTGATAGATGAAGAAGAAGAAGGAGAAGATTAAACGACATATTGATAAAGCAAATGTGAGTTATTCTAAAGAGAAGAAAGAAGAGAAAAATTTACCTGAATATATAGAATCATTGATAAAACATACAAGTGCATAAGAATGTAATTCTAAGAAACTTTCCAGTCAAATAATCTCTATATTTTGTATTTAATAAGAGGTAAATCACGGGGGTTTTATTTTTCACAAATTTTTCCTTCAGCTTATTTTTCTTAATTATTTAACTATTATTGTTTGTCCTTTCAGCACAGTTTTCTTTCACAACAATTTATGACTCCTTTGAGCGTTGTTATGTTTTTGAAGCAAATCGGAAAGAATGTTGATTTCCTCTTGACTGAAATCAAAAAGAAAATGAAAAGAAAAGAATGATTGTAAAGCGTTTTAAGTTAACTATTTCCTCCCGCATTGCGAGTGACGTGAGTTTACGTCTCAAAATGTAAAATGATGAATGATGTGTACTGGGGCAGCCACGCCGTTGAATCTGAAGATGATCTGAGCAGAACACTTTGTCCAGAGTATTTTATCTCTAAGTGAGTCCCTGATTTTTTTTTCTTGCCATACACAATAAATTTTTTTCTGTTCACAATTGATTTCCATCGCATTGAGAAGTGATGGAGAGATTTTAAAGATGAAAAATAAAAACTCACAGAAAATCAAAACTTCTTAGCCAACAATGAATGGAAGAATAAATCTTTGATTTAAAAAGAAAGACAAAACAAAGGTGATAAGGTGAAGAAAGCAATAGAGAAAAAATGAAGAGGAGAAGAGAGAGATGAGATATCAAATGGTTAACATAGAGTCTGATTGAGAGGGTGCAAAAGGAGCGAAAAATCCGAGTCTCTTCTTCAGCGAAAAGACAGTATATTAAGCCAATTATTATTATGAAAAGAAAAACACAATCCCATTGATAAATCATGCATCCAGAAATTCACAGAAACAAGTATATATTTTTTTTATTTTCTCTTCAATGATAAACTACTATCTCTTTATGCTGTTTCGCGTCTTTGAGGAGCAGACAATGTGTAAAACGGATTGATATTCTTTGCTGTCTATCTTCTGTTTAGCATCTTATCATTTTTTCCTCCCGGAAACACTGCACTTCTTAAGCATTTGCATTTCGCATCGAAGACACTCGAAAGTGTGTCAATAATATATTTCTTACGAAATTCCATCAAGTGTTTTGAGTCGATGAAATTGCTTCCGTTTTCGCGTCTTTTCTGTTTGCTTTTGTTAACAACAAAAAAAAAGTGATAAAGAGAATCTTTGTCCAAGTGTTTTGATAAAAGCGCAACCTAAAGAACATTAAAAAAAACCGAAAAAAAGTCGATGAAGAAGTTTAACATGGAGAAATCGCTGTGAACAGCGAGAAATGTGAGTGGAAATGAATTGAGATAAAAGTATGAAGAGATGAGAAAAATTTGCAATAATTCAGAGGCTGTCAGCTTTCCCCATTACACATTGTTTGCACGGTTAAAATGGAGGGAATATAGATTTTTCCTGTTTCTTTCAGTTTAAAGAGCATTTTCCGCCCATCCTGCAAAAAATACAAAAAATCCTCTTCTCTCTTTGTAGAGTTCTTCCAACTTTTTCCCTCTACGATCTTTTCTTTCAGCGAACATTGAGAGCATCCCAAAAAAAGCAAAAAAAAATACCGAGAAACAATTGATTTAAAAGCAGAAATGGAAATCGGAAATGATTATTTATATTTCTTTTAGAAAAGAGATAAATTTCACTAAGACAAAATGGATTACAAAGTGAAGAAAGGGAAAAGAAGAGATGAAAGATTTCGACGAGAAGTGAGAGAAAAGATACAGCATAAATCTTAGGATTGTAATGTGTAAAGTTAAGAATTTTTTATATTAATTATGCATAGAAAATATACAAAAAATAATAATAAATATACATTATAAGAAAATCTTTTATTTTCTTTTGAGGAGAAATGAAGAGAGACAAATTTCGTGGCTAAGAAGTTTTTATTTTCTCCCACGTTCCTTTTTTTTGTAACATTTATGTTTTTGTCTTGGGCATAGAAATTCACTGTTTTTTTTCGGTATCGAAAGATCATCTTTTGCGATAATCGTGGCTGCCTCACTGATGATGAAATTGATTGTTAAATTAAGGTATTTATTGATTGATTTCACTCTATAGTTTAATGAAAAGTATGTTGAGTAGATGTATTTGAACACTGTTTAAAGGTGATTTTTTCGCTCTTTTCCTCAGGCACGGGAAAGTCATCGACATCGAAAAAGCGCGTGAAAAAGGACGATCTTCAGTCGAATAATAATGTCTCGGTGAGTTTCGCAAAGGAATCCATATATGAATAAATGTTAATTTTGTGTGTTGTTAAGCTTAATGTGAATGATTGTTATTGCACAGAAATATTCCCGACTCGCGAAATTGCGCAAGAAAGCGCATTTTTTTATTGATGAAATTGTAGCTCCTTGAGTGAATGTGTTTGACCGTGATGTTTCTCCGCAGATGCCGCAGAACACGATGGCCTCCAGCCTGCCAGTCACCACGCAGAGTCACTTCAACGGCATTATCCAGACACCGCTCCTTCCGGCACCACAGCAAACCTCCCAGGCACCGGTGTCGGTGGCGCCGCCGGTGAGCCTGGTGAACACCAACGGCAGCATGAAGCACCCGATGGTGAGCATGAGCAGCGCCGCTCCGCCGACCATCTCGCAGGCCAGCAGCGCGGTGAAGCAGGAGCTGAGCGCGCCGCCGCCCATACAGACGGCGCCCATGAACATGATGCAGCAGCCGATGCGCGGCCCCGCGCCGCTACCCGCGCCACCAATGGAGCACCAGATGCCCAAGGCGGCGGCTGTCCAGATGAGTGCCATGGCCGGCGCAGCGATGGGCAACGGCATGAGGCAACCAGCGGCACATCACGGCGCTATGTCGGGCGGCTATGTGGATCCGCTGGAGCAGAGTCTGGCCAGTCTGGAGCAGAACCTCAAGTCGGAGATGGCCAACCACCATCCGCTGGACTTGATTGGCGACTTGAGTGCACAGAGTATCATTCCAAAGAGCGAGGCTGCGGCGCCGCCACAACCGCCCGCCGCCCTCGCGCACCAACAATCGCTTCTGCAGCAGCTCAGCATTGAGGCGATGCACCATCAGCTGCAGCAGAGCATGGCTCACGCGACGTCCGGGCCGAATGGCTTCGTGATGGACCACGCGACAGCGTCTCTCAACGGCATGGGCGTGCTGCAATTCCAGCCGCCGCCCGTGCCGCAGGGGCCGCCGTCCGGAGGCCACGTGGCGAATCCCATGGTATCGATCTTCGATCCGGCAATGTCTGGCCAACTCCTCAACCGCGGAGGAGCAGGTGAGAAATTCTCTTGGGCGAATCTTCTGACGAATCACACTGACAATCTGGCTTTATTTCAGGTACAGCGAGTCAGCCGTCAACGCCGCAAACGCCGCAGCAGTCGCAGATGCAGCAACAGCTGCCGCAAACGCCCACGAGTGCTCCTGTGAAGCGCGAGGAGAAGTTCCTGCTCACGCCGAAGCCCATTGAAGATCTGCTCATGGCGCCGGTGCACGACAAAGTGAAGGCGGCGACGAGTGAGGCGAAAGGTAACTTTGCACAGGCCCTTAAACCGTCACACGAACAGAATCTGAAAAATGCCAGCTCGTGGTCATCGCTGGCATCGGCGGGATCGCCGCAGAGTGTCGCGACGCCGCAGGCGAAGCCAAAGCCGTCAATGGACAGTTTTCAGCAGTTCAGGAACAAGGCGAAGGAGAAGATGGACAGGCAGAAGTTCCTGGAGCAGCAGGAGCTGAAGAGGAGTCAGAAGGAGGCGGCTGAGAAAGAGCTGAAGCGACAGCAAGAGCAGCAGCAGAAGCAGAAGAGCCAGGACGAGCATGACGCGCCGAGGTGAGTTGATTCAAATTGAGGAATGTTGAGGAATGCTTACTGATTGTGGGTGTTCTGTAAAGCAGAAAAACCGGGGCGGAACCTCTGCCGGCACGCGTGGATGAGATCAAGGAGTCACCACAGCGGAGTGGATCGCCAGGAATGGGCGCCAGTGCGGCTAATCAGGACAGAGGCGCCGCCAGGAGGGCCGAATTGAGGAGATTGGAGCAGGAGAGACGACGAAAAGAGGCGGTGAGTGAGAGTTTTATACACTTTCAGTGAGTCTTCCACTGTGATTTCGTTTTATTTAATGGTTATTTCCACAATTGCAGTTGGCCGGCCAGATTGACATGAACATGCAGAGCGATCTGATGGCGGCCTTCGAGGAGTCACTGTAAGGCTGGCAAATGCTCCGGGCAGAACCACCGAAGGAAGACGCACTCCAAGGAGTGACGAAGACAACGCCAATGCGAAAAATTACACACTTACCGTGTAGAGTATTATCATTTTAGCTGCAGAATTTTATTGTGCAGACGCTTCATCACCGCCAGTCGTTTGTTGAGGGAAGTGAAAGGGTGTGGCTTTCTTTATTTTATTTTCACGGGGGAGAAAATTTTCTGATGAATTATTTAATAACAGAAACAAAGAGATGAAGAGAGAGAGAGAGACAGGGAGTATGTGGAAATATGTTGTGATATCTCTCCCGCCCATTTCCATCCTTTTTCATTCACTAATATTGTTTTTAATTTATTTGCAAAGGCAAGAAGCAAGAAATGTGCAGTGAAAGAGAGACTTTGATTTTTCTTTTATGAAGGCAAAAGAACGCGGCGGGATTTGGGTGTTCTTAAGGCTCTTGGTGGGCCTGTAAATTGGACGGAGAATACATTTTTAATATATGATAGATTACTTCTTAAGTGTGTACATAGAAGTGGAGAACATTCAGGAGTCATCTGGTTTTTTTTTTAATAGGAACTCTCCCTAACTTTGAATAAACTCTCAAGCGATAATTGCGCACTTGGGTGGCGAAAATGAAGCTTGAGGATAGATTTGAAGGGAGGAAGAGGATGATGAGGAAATACCACTAAAATAACTATTAAACATATTTTAAATAGCCGTTTAGAATTATTGAGAAAACACTTGAGCGTAGATTTCATGGTTAAAGCGAGAGAAAGAGAGAGAGAGAGAGAAATAATTGCGATATAGATTGGTGGTTTTTGATTCGCAAAAATATGTAGACCGTAACGATTTTGTATTCTAATTTAAAATGATGAGAAGGTAGTTGAAAAAGGAATAGAAAGTGGGAATAAGAGAAGGAAGAACGATATATATATATATATATATACATAATATATATATATATATAAATATTTAAAAGTGGATAAAAATAATTAATTAGTGAAGATGAAACTTATTATTAACAATCTATTAAATATTGTATGTAAAAATAGGGATTAACAACCAAGAAAAACATGTGTAATAATTATTAAAAGAAAGAAACGGGAGAGTTTTACTTTGATTGAAGAAAAGTATAAAACTACAAAACAATAGATATTTAGTGGGGAAGAATTTTGGAGGAGAGAAAGAATATTATAGAATTACTTGTAAGTAGATTTGAAAGGAGTTAGAAAATTACACAATCACTACATTTATTCTTCTAAATTGAAAACGAGGTGCATTGATTGAAGAAAGGCATTATAAAAAAAAATCAGCAAAATCATGGGAAAAAACAATAATTATTTCATTCTTTTATTTGTTTATTTGTATATTCAATTTCTTGTCGTCCTTCTGGGTAATTCTGGACTCATTATTGACATGAAGCAGAACATTTTTTAAGAATAAACCACTATTCGATTGATAAGGAGCGTTGAGAGAAATTCAGTAAACTACACAACTTAATCATGAATTAGATATTAAGTCACTGCGAGCAGAAAGCGCATGCATGAGTGTGGCTAAGAATCCTATTCGTATCACTTTTACGTAATAAATCAACTTTGATTAGTGCGAAAACATGAATCGACTAGAAGGAGAAGAAAAAAATACACAGAGATTGAGACAAAGTCACGCAGGATGATAAAAAAAGTCCAATGAGAGATGAACAAAAGATGAAGAACGAAACAGCAGCGGATGAATTATTCTTTAAAATGAAACCCTAGTTACTAGTTTGAGCAACTTTTAAAGAATAATACAAAAATAAAAGTACTATTTTAAGGTAAAAAGTGAACTTGGCCGTGTTTTTTCATTGTCTTCACACGCCGTACTTCGTCAGGTAATCCTCAACGTACTCGGTGAAGAAGGGATTGTCGTCCATGATTTCATACATCGATTGCTGAGCTTTGTTGAAAGTGTAGCACAAGCAGGCGATGTCGTCAAAGTGGAGAATGTTTTCGTCTCTCAGAACTTCAAGATAGTCCACAAAAATTGCCGTATTTCCCTGAGCGGCAATGTGAAGAGCCGTGTTGCCGTCCTCGTCGACGCTCTCGAGTTCCTTGACCAAAAGATTGTCCGGAAAAGTGTGCAAGTAGTGAAAAGTATGCTTGATGATCTCCAAATGTTTCGCCTCTTTCGCAATCACGTGAAAGAGACGAAGTTTTTCGCCCACTTCTGTTTGCCAATACAACACATCGTCGCAGAAGAGCTTCAAGAAAGCCTGTAAGGAACTCTCTTCGGGTTTAGGTTCACTCTCGAGGAGTTGATTTAGGAATTTGATGTTATTCTCCATCGTAGTTTGCTCGTTTCCCTTTGAAATTAGCACGTAAGCTTTGACAATATCTTCCTTTCCAGTGGGCAACATTGTGAATTTGGTGGAACTGAAACAGAAGAAAAAAAAACACATTTCACAACAATGAGTAACGAATATGAATTGCGTCACGCCACAAAATCATTGTATTTTCTCACTATAACTGAATTTACCTTGGAATTTGGGGAATAACAGCTCCTATTGTACGAAATGATTCCTTTAAATCCACACTGTGTCTTCTCACTTCCTTCTCAATTCAGCACGTTCGCCGCAATAATCCGTCAAACACTGTTTATATCCACATGTAAACTGTCGGCTCTGAACGACGACAGCAGCTTTGAAACAGCTTGTGAATGAAATACAGTACAACCTCGAACTTACACGACATTCAGCATTAATTTGACAAATCAGCGAAGTCAGAAAGATTGAATATTAACCATAAAATATTCTGAAACGTCTGTGTTTAGATATTTAGTCTAAACAGAACCTTTTATTGAGGGATGTTTTCATTTCATATTCATTTGAAAGTCTGAAAAGAAACGGGATTGCACAATTTGTTCAGGATTAACACTGCCCCGCTCTCCCCTATACAAGGAAGTCCTTCTCTGAAATCTAATTATTGATAAAATGGATAAAATAAAGAATATTTCATAAGATTCTCAATAATAATACGAATATTGCGCAAGATTGTGAAATTTTAGTATTTCACAACATGGTGCAATTTGTTAATTATATCAAATATTTTGTGTAATTAACGAATTTAAGGCTTAATTTCGCGGTTAAGTCGTATTAAAAAAAATATCCTTAATTTCGTATATGGTGAAAAGAAAAAGAAAACGTATTTTAAGGATCAAATGATTTTCTGAATGTGTAATTTCGGCAATTTTATTATCATTTCAATATCAATTGTATTGAAACTAACAACATTTGAATTGTTATAAATAATAAATTTGTTTAAAATCCTTTTTTAGTCACCTTTATTAGCTTCAAAGCAAGCATCCTTTTGAATATATTATTGATTTACTGTAGAAATTCTCAAGTTTTCCATACATTTTGCGCCTGATGCATTAAAACACGAATAAGGATTCTCTGTCTTACATATGTACATAGCATATATGTTCGATTCTGCGCAGAAAAATACGAACACGCTATCACACACACTGACGCATTGCGTGGAAGAACTCCCCACAGATGCCGGTTTATATATATTTCGTTAGTGTTCTGCGGCGCCGATAAGAGAGGCTTTTAAAAAGCATAAACTGAAGCAATTTTCTCAGTCTTTGGTTATATTTTGCCGAGTATTCAAGCGTGGCTTTTAAGGCTAAACAATCTGAAATCGTGAATTTCGCATAATTACAGCATTTGCATACTTGAATTGTTTAATAAAGAAGATTTTCCCAAAAATACTGCCTGAAAATCAGTGAAAATAGTGAGAAAAATTGGCAAAAAAACCCAATCTTGCGAGCACTTCTAGTGTCGAAGTGAGTGTGGGAATGAAATCATTTTTTGTGCGTGTGTGAATTATGCGAATGAACGCCCGGATTAAAACGAAATCGTGTGAGTTTTCTTTCTTGTAGTCTTCAAGTTCAGTGTCGAGTATGACAACGCCAGAATCATCACTTGCGGCATTCTATCTGCGCCCTAACCAGCCTCACAAGTCTGAAGTCACGGCAGAACACGGTCACGTGTACCAGAAGGAGCTCTTCTTCTACTTGTGCCTGGTCTTGAACAACTGGGAAGAGTGCAGATACTGGACAATTGGCTTCGAAGTGACAGATTTGAAGAAATTCGATGATATTGTTGCGGAATTTGAAGTGAACAACGAGGAATATTCCTTCTTTATACAGACTAAACATGCCGCACATGCCGACAAGAAAGTCACGCGAGATCACATAATTCCACAGCCAGGTATTCAGCAGAAAAATAAAAGCCAGGAGAAGAGCTTTGAGATCAATCAATACTATGAAGCCGTGGTGAAGAGTAAGAAATCTCCAAATCGCACATCGAAGTTTATTGTATTGACAAATAGTGAGATTGATCTTGATGAAACACAATCAACGGATATTCTAACCATCGTTGATGAATCAAATGCAGTTTATTGTGAATTGTTCAGAGAACTCAAGGACCGCTGTGAAAGGGACATGAAAGTGATCAAATTTGCCAAAGAAATCCCTTTAAGTGGCGGTGCGAAGATTACTGATGCATTCTTCTTGGACAATTTCTCTTACATTTCCAAATTTCCGAGCTCTCAAGAACTCATGATCATCAATAATGTTCTGTTGTCGCGCAAATACAGGAATTTCCCCACCAAGAATTTCTTCAAAGTGCGCAATAATGTGTTCGAGTCGCTGAGCCTCGAGAAAGACAGCGAAGGGAAACTCGTGAGGAATCCGATGATTAAGGAAAAATTCAACGAAATTATTCAAAATTCTGTGCTTGAACTGGATTTTCCTACATTCTCAGCTGATTTCTGTAAGCAATTCGACTGGATAGATTTCTCAGAAGACGCGCTTCAGTGTGTGAATGAGGGTCAGAAGGAGTTTTTCTGTAGAGGAAGTGGAAAATTATTGGCTTTCATGGTTTACAAGGCAATCTTGGCGAAAGAGAGGAAGCAAAATCGCCTAGCAAATGTATTTTGCATACCATTTTCCAAGCTCACAGACTACAAAGATGCCCTCAAAGTGTTCAAGCAAAAAGTGGTGGTTTATGTGGACACTGAAGAAGTTCAGGAGGAGTTTGATGCCTATGAAAATGCCATATTTATCTTCAAATCGACTGACAACAATTCAGCAGCCAAAATTTGCTCTCTAGACGATTTCAGCAATGAAGCTAGAGAAGAATTCTTGCAGAAGGAAGTGGAATTTCAAGGCTGTCCAGTAAAAGTCTCTCTTTTAACTGACAATAAGGATGTGCTGACGGAAATCCTGCAGGCTTTCTTTGACAACAACCAACAGACACTCAAATTCGGAACGAAATTGCCTGTTGACGACTTGCCGAAATACTACATTGATCGAATCTTTTCGATTTCGCCCAGAAGTGTGGGGAAATTGAGGGAGGATGATATGGTGAAGGAGGAGGACATTTACACGCCAGGAGAGAACACAATAATTCAAGGCTTGGCAGGAGTTGGCAAATCCACGACAATGCTGAGGATAGCGCAAAGGACAAAACAGCAAAAACCCTGTCGCTTTGTTCAATACATCGATCTCAAGACGCACAGCGACATTCTACACTTCATCAAAGACAAGGGAATAAAGATTTCCTCGACAGATGCGTGGGAATTCACCAAAATAAACTTCCTCAAAATCAACGCAGAGAGTGAAAAAGTGCACAGAATCGAGAGACTGCTTGTTGAAGCTTATCTTGAGGAAGAATTGCCGAAGATCGTGATATTCTTGGACGGATTCGATGAAATATCACCGCTCTACAGTGATCAAATCATTGAGATTGTCGAGGGATTGAAGTTGAAGAAGATACAAATGTTCATCTCAAGTCAAAAACACTTGATACAGACCATCGATAAATTGAAGTTTGAGTAGGTTTTTGATTTTTGTACGGATTTATAAGAAATCTTCTTTTATATTGTTGCTTTCTTGCTTCTTTTCAGGTTGAATTACATTTTGGAACCCTACAATAATGTCATGCAACGCCAATTCTTGCGACTTTATTGGGGAAATATCTTGAACACAATGATTAGAAGAGGAGAACTTTCAGAAGATGAAGTTGAGAAGCAGAATATTCACGTTTACACTAAGAAATTCTTCAAGATGTGCTACAGATCAAAGCTCACAGACATCACACCTAGCATTCCTCTCATGCTCAACATCCTTGCGGATCACTATGCGCAAGAGTGCATGGAATTCTGCAAGAGAAGCAACAAGAAGTGGTCAGAGAAGATCCTAGAAGTGGACGTTCTCATGATATATGACAAGATCTTCCAGGACAACTGCAGGAAATTCTACAGAAAGACAGAGGAAAAGCAGTCAAATATCTTCATCAAGGAGAAAGAAGTCGATGTGTTCGCAATGGTAAGACAGACTCACATGGAGATTGCGGCCAAGAATCTTCTCCCAGAATTCTGGAAGGAGACGGAAAATGTGAACATCGAGAGGAGAATGTACGAAATCTACGGAAGAGGTTTCATCACAGGCAATAAGACAGGCGAATACTTATTCATCTACGACACTTTTAAAGAGTTCTTTGCGGCCGATTGGTTCACAAGGAAAATCTTTCCGGCGGATAAGATCGTTGATATTGAGTTGCTGAAGTGTCTTTTGAAGAAGGATGACAAGAATGGCAGCCAAAAGATGCAATTTGATAGATCGCTCACAAGTTTCATATACAGATTCATCTTAAAGAGACTGCAAGATGTTAAGGAGAAAGTGAAGTTGGAAGAACACCAAGCAGAAGCCAATCAAATATCCGATTTCATCCTGGAATTTTTCCATTATGCGTGGTTCAATAGGGAAATCTCTCAATTGGAGATTGTCTTTGACATGGCCAAGACTTTCTGTCCCAATGACAAAGTCAGACAGATCTGCAAGAGTAAGAAGCTTCTGGAAACCATTCCGTTTACTTCACCATTGCAACTGGAACTCACTGTCAAGATCTACGATCACTACCTTGGCCCAGAAGAAACCAATGCGGTGTTCAAGGAGCGAGACATGGGGAAGATCCTCAATTTCATTATAAAGGAAACAAACTTTCAGCTATTCAAAGAGTACACAGATTTACTAATAAGCCGAAAAATAGTCACTCACGCAGACAATTTACCTGAGAAAACCTTCAATCACTTCAGGAACTACTTGAGAAAGCAGAAAGTTTCCAGTTGGATGTTCGTCAAAAAAGTCTTATTGTGGCACTACGAACTTTTGGGCACAACTGAAGACGATATTTTCACATTATTAGATGAAGTCCTGAAGGAAGAACAGTTCAAGGATCGTCTTTTTCTCGGACATTCCTTGGCATCATTTTGGGACTGGAAAGAAAATGATCAGAACTTTATGAAGACAGTCTGCAGCCGCGCAAATGCATCTAAAGAGCACTACAGATTTCTCTATGCGCTGAATTCCATCACGCGAGAGGATATTTTTGAAGGAGCAATGCAAATGCTGAAAGATGAAAAATGCAGCTTCATTTGCCACGATGGCAAGTCAGTTCTTTGTCACGCTTTTGAGAGCAACAATTCATTCATAGTCGAGAAGTTGTTGAATTTACTCACCAAAGAGGAAATTGAAGCACAAATTAAGGACGAAGTTTGTGGTGGAAATTCAATTTTGAAGCAATGCACAAAGGAAAATCATCTCTGTGACATTTTCATCACTGTAATCCTGAAAATTTTCGGGGAAGAAACTATACATGACTTTTTCACTCCAATTGAGGACAGAAAGGGTAAATCATTAGAGATCAACATAAAATTCCTAAATACAATCTTCAAAAAGAAGATTCAAGTGAAGAAAAACCTACTTGAGGATTGTATGACAAATTTGTGGATTCAAGTGATCAATAAGAACGCAAAACTTCTGCATTCAATTGCCAAGGAAGCGAATAATGTTGAGATCGTCAAACATGTGCTTAATTATGTACAAAAACGTCCAAACGGTTTACTCGTTGCGCAACTTCAGGCTGTCGACAACGATGGAAACACACCTCTTCACATCGCCGCGCAGGGAAATCGAACCATTTTCTTTGACGAGGTGGAGAAAATCCTCCCAGAATGGTTGCTTTCGGAACTGCTCTACATCAGGAACAAAGATAAAAAGGATGTTTTCGATTGTATTTACGATAACAAGGACAATCCCATGAGTGGCGAAGAATATTTTCAAAAGTATGGCGTCCACAAAGTTTCCAATTCAATGGAATTAATGTAATTGTCTGAAATGTAAGACAAATAAATATTTAAAAACATAACAAATTGTCTGAAAAAGGTGGAAATCTCTTAAAATAAGAGACGCGATTTGATGAAATTGTTGGTTTTGGGCGGTGTTAATAAACGACTAATGTTTGTTTCCACTATTTCTGCTGAGAATTGAACAACAAACATGTGCTGTCAGATACATATTTGAGAATAATCCTATGGATTCTCTCCTTTTATTAATTCCTTAATACAGTTACAGAAGTAGATTAACAAGACAATCTTTTCAATTTCATACGATCACCAACAATATTTTTTGTGGTTTTGAATGCGTTATAATGGTTACGATAAAGAGTTTTTGCTCGATATAATGCTGATTAGTAGTGGATTAAATCTTACCTGAAGACGACAGATAATTAATGCTTTGAAAAATGACACGATTCACATAGAGTCTTTAGACAAACATTTCTACATTTATTCCGCCGCCGCCGGACCCCAAGATCTCAGCAAAGACAGCGCCTTATTGAAGCTCGTTTTCCATTCATCGCGTTCGGCTTTCGTATCTGTCGACAGAAGATGTCTGCAAGAGGAGATGGAAATCACTTAGTGCACTTAATGAAAATGATAAGTTCTACACTCACCTGACAATTGTACTCTTTCCTCGCTTGAGAATCACTAATGACTCCTCGTCAGACTCCCTGCTCGGACGCTTAAGCTCCAGCAAAAGCGTATTCATGCGCGCACAGACATCTCTCGGCACCGCTTCGACTCTTTCTGAGCAGCACGAGTACAAATCAATTCTCCCCATTGGCGGCTGCAAGAGAAATAGACGGAAAATAATGATGAACCACCACTTTCACAATCACTGCAAAAGGCGCCTCTTTCTACACCTCATCGTATCGAATTATCTTATCAGACAGTGCCTGATAAGGCTCGCTATCTGCCGACCAAGTCGACTCTCTGGCCGCAGTTGCACCCCTGAAAGCCCCCCGTGAGCATGTCCACAGCCAACTGGTTCGACGCAGATGCCTCTGCTGCGCCCTCGGATGCCGCCCCGGAGCGCCCCTGGCAGGCCACCAAGAACAGCATCCGTGACCGGAATGCCCACTTGCTGGCCAGCGAGCTCATGTCGGACGTCGCATTCGTGGTGGGACAGTCAAAGGTGAAAATTCCGGCGCATCGACACGTCCTGGCCACGACCAGCGCCTCCTTCTACGAGGCCCTCTACGAGCGCCCCAATCCGCCGCCAGAGATCGAGGTACGCCCAAACTCAACCCGCTTTTCGTCTCTCCATACACTTGAGGTGTGAATCATTTGCGCGGTGAGGTGAAATTTGGTGGATTCTCTTATCAGTGAATGTTTGGCTTTGGTGTGTGGAAATGAGGACACAGTGCAGGGAAATTATTTTAAATGGATCACTTGTGACTCTACCATTTTGTCCTATTCATTCTCAGGTCAGCGATGTGGAGGAAGTCCACTTGCGCAGCCTTCTTCGCTACATGTACTGCGATGATCTCGACATCACGTCTGAGAATTGCTTCGAACTCTTGCGCTTGGCTCTGCGCTTCGGCATTCGCCACATGGAATTGCTCGTGGTGGATTTCATTGAGCAGAGTCTCTGCACGGAGAATGTACTGGAAGTCTTCCAGCAATCCACATCCATGGGCTGTCAATCGCTCCGCGAGAAGTGTTACCGCATCATCGAGTGGACAATCCGGGAGATTCTACAATCTGACAAATTCGTCAACACCTCGCGAGAGATTCTCGGGCTGATTCTGCAAATGCCGCGTCTCAATTGCCGAGAGGTTGACATCTACCGGGCAGTGATGCTCTGGGTCGAGCATCAGTGCCTGGTGCGGGATTTGCCCACTGACGGAGAGTCACGCAGAGAATGGTTGGGCCTGGATTTGCTCCACCTCATTCGATTTCCTACAATGAGCGCCGAAGAGTTCTCTGAGTGTGCAACAATCGATGGCTTCCTCACGGCTGATGAGATCTCGAGGATCTTCCTCGTGATCATGGACAAATTCAGCGGAGCCATTGAGTTCTCACACATGCCCAGATCCTCAGTGATCTCCTTCGAGACATCTCGCAGCATTGTCATCCTCAATCGCTTCATGAAGTGGTCGCGAGGCTTCAATCGTACCATCAGCTATGATCATCACAGCGTCCTCATGAGCGTCACGAAGCCCACGATCGTCGCGGGCTTCGGATTGCTTCTCGATCAGAGCGACGTGTGTCTGGACGGAGCTGTTCTGTCCTTCGCGAAACGCGACCTGGAGTTGGACAAGCTGGAGGACGGTAGTCACATCAACAGGATCGCCATGAAAGACAACTTCTACATGGTTCACGTGCTGCTGCAGCAGCCAGTCTTGCTGGAGACACACGAAATGTATCTCGTGAAGCTCATGAATCCCACCAATGGCTTCCAGACCATCTCTGGCGAGGTGAGAGAGAAGATTGCCTTCGGCAATGCCAGCATCACCTTTAAGAAGCCCACAAAGAGTCCCTACGTCAACGCCATCGCGGAGATCCTTATTCTCAGCTAAATGAAATAAAGACGATTGAAAAATCCCCCCACTTCGTACTCACCTTCTTGCTCTTCTCATCGTCCGGATACTTCCAGTAGTTCAGCATGTGTCCACGCAGACGACACCAGCGACGCTGCCACGCTCCCAATCCCACAACATCTTCGAACATGTTGAGGAAGCCCTTGTGATCCACTGTCACGTCCAATTGGCACGCCACTTTCATCTGCACGACGCCCTCGAGAGGACTCGCGCCAGTCGCTCCATTGAGAGTCCACGACGTCCTCTTGGTGTCTTTCAAGGAGAAGATGACAAAGCCCAGCTTCTCCATTGTTGGCCGGCGCACAACTCCTGGTCCAGCTGGCGATTGAGGTATTGGCATGACCAGACGCTTCTCACCTTTGCGCCCTTTAGGCGTCAGCTTCTTCGACGCCTGCTTCTTGCTGCCCGCAATGTGATACTTCACGTCATGCGGAAGAATATCATTCTGTGCATCCATTCCGTAAATTTCAAGTGTGATCTGGAAAGGATTTAGCAATAATATCAGCAAGCAAAAGCATAAAATAACAGCTCATTTCTCACCTTAAAGTCCTCATAAACGTCGGTCATTGTTAACTCATCGCTGAACTTCACGGCCAGGAGTCCGGGAAGTGTGATCACTGTCTTTGTGCTCATGACAGTTTCATTGTACTTCAGCAAACAGATCAAGTGTTGTCCTGAAATGGTGTTCGATGCCAACTTCCTGATGTAATCCTGTCGCAGCGGCAAAGTGATCTCTTTCACCGTCAACTTTCCATGATCCTGCGGTGATCCTCGTGGGCGCAGCGTCTGCTCTACTTTGAGTCGCTGAATCTCATCCTGAGCCGCCTGGCGTCTGTGCGTGGCCACCAGAAGATGTCTCTCAGCCTCCACAGCTTCTGTGGAGCCCGAGAATTCAAATGTGGAAGCGCAGAGATTCAATGCTCCGCTAGCTTGAGCAATAATCTGATGTTGCTTCTGCACTTCCTCCTTCAGACGCTCAATTTTACTCTCCACCAGATAAACTTCGTGACTGCCGCCAACAGGTTCATCAGTGTAGCCTTCGGATTCCGTGGTGGAATCCTCTGTAGTCTCCACGCGACGAATCACCTTGCAAGGCGGCGTGGTTTTCGAGGATTGCTGCTTCCTATAGAAACTCACCGTGTGCACCAAAGTCACCACCTCATCATCCTTCTGAGACTTCTTGGGCGACACTGTTATTTTCGAGGACACTGGAGTCTCAAATCTCAGCTGTTTCGCCGGCGAATTCCTCTTGTACGAGAAACTATTCGAGGAAATTGATCCCTTTCGCGGCGTATTTTTCTTACTGGATCCCATGGAATTGTCCAGTGCCTCATCGAGATAGTCATCCATCTCGTCCACCTCCTCGTCGCTGCTATCAGTGGCCTGCGCCACTGAGAACACCCGCGAAGACTCCGCCGAGCGGATGGAGTTCATCACGGCGCGACTGATGCTGCCCTCAAACATGCTGGAATCATCAGCCTCCTCGGACTCCATAGCACTCTCATCCTCCTCGAAGATCTTCGATCGCCGCTGGCCATTGCTCTCCTCCTCAGACACCGTGGCAGTAGTGCAGTTTTGCTCGTACTCTGCAAACTCCTGCTCCGCAAGATTCGGATACAGATCGCTCTTCCGCAAGGAGTGCTTCTTCACGCGCTTCACCTCGTCCGAGCTGGTGTCAGGATCATTCTCGCCATCTGGAATGAAGATTCACTGAGTCAATAGGATTCTGGAGGAAAGAATGAGTATTCAGTCACTCACCACTTCGGCGCTTTCCTCCTGATCCGAAGGAAGTTGACGGCATCGGCGGCGGCGGAGGCGGCTGAGCCGGCTCTGTCAAGGAAATCCCCTCATTCTCACTGTCAGACTTCGGAGTCTGATGGAAGCGATTCATCAGGATGTCCATCTCTTGTTGGCGCTGTCGCCTCGTCTCCTGGCTGATGGCATTCTCGGAAATCGTGGCTCCTGACGTCATCAGAGCCGCCACGGTGTTTTTAATACCACCTCCAGTGGCCTTAGATTCAGCCTTCTGAACTTGATTGTATCCACCAAAGTTCGGACGGGATTTCTTCTCCTCCTCCGCTGGCTTCAGCACAGGCTGAGGCCCTGGAGCCACTCCCACTGGCCTGGGAACTGGCGCAGCGCCCTTATTCTTTTCAAACAGCGCCATTCGCTCCTTCAGAGACATCTCCGCAGGATCCTTGGATGCCACTTTAGCTGGGCGAGACAACGCGCCACTCGCCTCGAAGAGAGCCGCCCTTCCCGTCACCAAACCTCGCGTCACATTCAGCTTCTTGGGCGAATCCTTCACATCAGTGTTGCGATTCGCATCGATCGTGGACTTCTTCAGTGAAGACTTCCTCGTCTCATTGAGAACATTTTCTCGCTCTCTATTCTCATTCTCTCCGTATTCGTACACGAGATTCTTCGTGGATTCACGCTTCTTGAATCCCTGCGACTCCAGAGCATCCATCACCGATTTGTCCCACTTCAGCTGCTTCGTGGGCGTCTTCTTGGTGACATCCTTGGGCAGAGTGTCCACCACTTGAGGACGCTTTGGCACAGCTCCAGTCGCTTTTGGAATGGCCACGTTCTCCTTCTGCACACCCGAATTCTGATCCTCCCAACGGTTTATCGAGTCCGCCAGAGCCGCCAGCTTCCCCATGCGATTCCTCGGTCGCGGCGGCTCAGCATCTTCCGTCATCTTCTCGTGGAAGTTCCCTTCCGTCCTGTGGATTGGCGATGAGATGTTGTGCTCAGCGGAATACAGCGCTCCCAAGCGCTGCAAGCGGCTCTTCGACGCATCTCGAATTATTGAGGCAGTTGATTCATTCAGCAGCTCATTAGTCTTCAGCACATTGCCATCGCAGTCCACATCCAAAGCGGTCACGTCGCATTTCACCTTCAGAATCCCCAGAAATCAATGAAAATTTCATGAAACTTTCCAACCTTTAGACTCACCCCCACATTTGAGTCCGTTGTGATGTTAATTTCCACGGATATGTTATCAAATTTATCAGCATCACTCCCACCAGTCGTGTTGGTCATGTACGTCAGCACATTCTTCCCATCTGAACCCCTCTTCTCAGAACTGACCTTCCGGCCGGGAGACTTGCTGCTGCCCCCAAGACTGCTGAGGCTCGATTCAGCACTATTTTCCCCCAGAGGCACTTTCGCCACTGGATTGCTGATACCCAGTTGCTTACTTCGTTGTTCCGCACGATCCAGGATTCTCTGTAAATGAGCCCCAAATCAACAGACACCCAAGAATCTCCCGGAAGTTCATTGGAACACTTATGCAAGACAAACCTGCGTAAAAGGATCCATTTCCAGACGATTCTTCAATTGTTAAGTACACTTCTCAACACTCAGATGGATTATCACACCATAAAATATACGATAGTTGGGAGAAAAGACGAATTTTCAGGGAAAACAAAACACCAGTCACAGAGAACAATTGCAAGCTTGCGGTTTTCTTACAAAATTTGAATTGTGACGTTGCAGTGCGGCGTCTTCGATGCGAACGCCACTTTTACAACTGTGACTCGATGGTGAAACAGTCGGTGTGTTTTCTTGTTGGAAACAACCACACTCTTTTTCCGGACTTCTACCTAATTTTCATAAAAAATCACAGTAAATGCGAAACAAAAATACTTCTTTTTCAGTGTATTATGGGCCAGTTATGTATAATTCCTATGTATCTTTAAATTATTTGCTTAGTTCTTCTTATACTCGATTCTCTCCACTTTCACCTCGTCGCCGATCAGCTGGTACACGTACGTGACCACTGTGGCGCTCTGGATGTCCATCAGGACGAAGGATGGGGTGGCGCGCGCAGTGGTGGCCGAATAGGCGCCCGTGGCGGAGCCCGGGTTGATGTAGAAGCGCGATTCGTGCTCGTACGCCTCGAACTTGTGGGTGTGACCCGAGATGAGGATGTCGACGTTGAGCTGGCGCTGCAGGAAGGCCAGCGCCTCAGGATCACCCCATGGCATCACTTTGTGGCCGTGCGTGAGGCCGATCCGGAACTGACCCACCGTGACCACCTTGTGGTCAGGATAAGTCTGACCATCGTCAAAGTCACCCCGAACGATGTGCACATCACTGGCGAGCGTCTTGAGATAGTCATACGAGTCCCGCGTGCACAGGTTCCCCGTGCAGAGGATGTGATGGATGCGGCCAGGCACCAGGAGCTTCTTGAACTTTGCCGGAAGCGTGCTGCATCGATGAGGAATGTGAAGATCGCCCAAGACCAAAACTAACTGAAATGAGATCAACTTAGAAGCCTTGAAATCGATTCAGGACAGTAGTTACTTACCATTGTATATCTTTATCTGCTTTGTCTATTCCCAGAGACAATTTAGGGGCGAAAATCAGCTTCCAGCAATGATTTGTTTTGCCTCCTGCACGGAAGATTAAAGTTTCACTGGAAAGCGAATGTCAAGGAAAATTTCAGACAATCATCTTCATGACTGCAGCGCCATTTGACGTTCGAGCGGCTTTGGAAACTTCAATTCCTCTTGGAGAACGTGTGTTTTTCTGGTAAATTCTCAGTTTTTTCTTGGATTCTCCTTTCATTTTTATGTTTAAAACCAAGAAGGACCCCTGCAAAGTGACTGCTTGCAAAATCCAGACGTGTCTCAAAGGTAATTCAGTCAAATTTTGCATTCAACATTATTACGTAAGTCCTCCGGACACTGAGAATCCTGTGAATCTTCCCGCTGTTCCAGAGAACAACTTCCAGGAGAGTGCGTGCTTGGAGGTGCTGGAGGAGATGCGCCAGTGCTGTCTGAAGTGGCACAAGGAGTCACTCTGCTGCTCGGGCATCAAATTGGAGAAGAGCTACTTGGACAGGGCGGAGAAATGAAGGAGCTGCCGTACGGCCCCAAAAGCGCCCAGCCGCGCCGGACGTTGATCAGCAAATACCCGCGAGCGTTTGTCATCATCGGCTGCACCGTGTGCACACTATTCCTGTTCTCGCGGCCTCTGTACGACGCCTTCATCCGCACAGATCGCGTGCCGCACCCAAAGTGGGGCCCCAAGAACTAAATGGCGGCGATGGAGTCAGTGAAGAAGGCGAACGCTAGACTAAGAAACTATCCAGTGTTGATGGGAAAGTGTGGCGAGGCGGCCGCCAAATATGCCGCTTGTGTGACCAAAGACTTCAATGTGAAGCACAAGAGTTGCCAGAGTGAGTTTGACGCCCTCAAGTCCTGTCTTCAGCGCGCCGCGAACAGCCTCAAGACGCGCTTGTGAGATGCTGGCGTTTTTCTTCAGCAAGGTGCCTTTTGGCACCCACCTGGCCATCAATTTCGCCGTGAGAATCGCCCTGATCGTCTACGGAGACTTCATGGATCGCGTCTCGCACGTGCCCTACACGGACATCGACTACAAGGTAGGTTCCATAAGTTCTCCATTCGCTCTGTATAGATTATTTGGCTGCTCTGGCTGGTGTTCAGGGACTGTGTGTTTGAGAAGATGTGTGATTACTTCTGATAAAGCGGCCTGGAGGTTTTTTTTCCGACGGACCTCCTGATAAGGCCAATCGCGAAGACACCGTGGAACAGTCGTTGGTGAAATTTAGGCGAGGAAAGTCACACAAAATGCTGGCTCTTGTGCTGATTCTGCAGAGTATCGCTGTGCTCCTGGTGTTGTTCAGCTTGTCACACCTTCTGCGTGTCCTCACGAAGAACTACCGCCTAGCCAAAACCCTCAATGTGCCCGGACCGCAGCCGATTTGGCCCATTTTGGGCAACATGGGTGCCGTGCAGTTCAAGGATGCCGTGGAGATCTTCAATCTGGCTCGGGATTTGGCTGTGCAGTACAATTATCGCTCGTACAAGTTCTGGGGCTTCGGACAGTTGCACATGAACATCATAAATTGTCGCGATGTGGAGACAATCATGTCGTCGTCGAAGCACAGCGACAAGAACTTCCTCTACTACTTCCTGCATCCCTTTCTGGGCACGGGATTGCTCACGGCGAATGGGAAGAAGTGGCAACAGAGGCGACGGATACTCACGCCCACCTTCCACTTCAACATCCTGAAGGAGTTCCTGGCAATCTTTCACGAGGAGTGCGAGAAGTTCATCGATTTGCTGAAAGTGGAGACAAAAAAAGGCGATGGCACAAATCTTCCCCCTCTCACCAGTCACTTAACACTCAACACCGTTTGTGAGACTGCGATGGGAGTGAAGCTGGAGACTTACACTGGCTCCAAGGAGTACCGAAGCTCGATTCGGAGCATTGGAGAACTCTTGCTGCACCGATTCCTGCGGCCGTGGCTGTATAATGAGACTCTGTACGCGTTGAGCGGTTACAGGCGGAAGCTAAATGCTCATCTGGTGCCTGTCCATGCCTTCACCAGGATGATTATCAAGCAGCGGCGCGTGCAGTTTCTGGAGACGGGAAAAGTGCCCGTTCTGGATGAGAATGAGAACATTTATGAGACGAAGAAGAAGCGATATGCCATGCTGGACACTCTTCTGGCGGCCGAAGCAGATGGATTGATCGATGCTGAGGGAATTCGTGAGGAAGTGGACACTTTCACCTTTGAGGGTCACGATACAACTTCAGCTGCTCTCACGTTCATCTTCTTCCTGCTGGCGCACCATCCGGAGGTGCAGGAGAAGGTGTATGAGGAGATAATGATGGCCATGGAGGTGAATTGTGGTCAGTCTCTGGCCACAAATGAGCTCAACGAACTCGAGTTCACCAACAGAGTGATCAAGGAGTGTCTGAGACTCTATCCGCCCGTGCCATTCATCACGCGCTCAGTGACGGAAGACATGAAAGTCGACAATGAGACAATTCCCGAGGGTTCCATTGCTCACATTCACATTTTCGATCTGCACCGCGATCCTGAGCAGTTTCCCGATCCCGAGCGCTTCGATCCGGATCGCTTTCTGCCTGAGAATGTGGAGAAGAGGCATCCCTTTGCCTATGTTCCCTTCAGCGCCGGTCCGCGGAATTGCATTGGGCAGAAGTTTGCGCTGCTGGAGATCAAGGCTGTCCTGCAGCACGTCCTTATGGCATTCAAGCTTTCGCCTGTGACGACGCGCGAGGAGATTGAGTTTGTGGGCGATATAATTTTGCGCGCGAAAACACCGATAAAAGTGAGATTCCATCTGAGATAGATTCCAGAGGTCGGAGTCAAGGCTTTGGAGTATTTTGATAAGATGAATCAATTCGGCTGAGTTTTATACACTGAATTCACACAGACGAGAAGATTAATAAAGCAAAAAAGTGGTCAAATTATGTATTTTTTCGTTTGGTTATTTAGATCGAAGTTGAGCAAACGTGATAAATTGTACTTATTGTAGAGATTATTGCTTTGATATCAGTGATTCATGTTTGCATAGAGACAACATGCCATCGAAAGATCAATGTTTGAATTCCAGATGGGCGCCAGGGTGAACAATCCCGATGAGAAAATAATGTTACTAGCCAATGTGACCATGAATTTCACTCTTCAATTCTCAGCTAGAAATTGTGCTGAAGAAAAAGAAAGCAGACTTTTTACTATACTTTTGCCTTAATTCACTTAATGACAGACTTACAGCCTTTTCCACCTTTCCTTCCAGGTGATTACAGATGCTGCTGCCCATGTTCTCAATGGCGACAGCCCTTATCGCCGGGAAACCTTCCGCTACTCACCTTTGCTGGCATTCTTGGTGCTTCCAAATCATTTTGTGCACCGGAATTTCGGCAAATTTCTCTTCGTCCTCTTCGATTTGGCCGTTGGAGTGCTCATTCGGCGCATCGTTGACGATGAGTATCGCATAATCTACCAGAGAAACGCCCAAGTGATGATGGAATCACTGCCAGGGAGGAGGAGAGGAGCGCACAAGCGCATGGAAGAGGCTGTGGAGGTGACTTTGCGGAAGAAGAAGGCTTTGGTGGGTCAATTGAGCGCCTACATGTGGCTCTACAATCCCTTAACTATGGTGATTGCGACGAGAGGTAATGGAGACGCTATTGCTAGTCTCCTCGTGCTCCTGACTCTGCACTTTATCCAGAAACCCAAGATTTCTGGCTGGAATTGCTTCGTGGCTGGCATTTTTCATGGCATAGCGATACACTTTCGACTCTATCCTCTTGGATTTAGTCTTGCATACTACTTGAGTGTGTCCGGGAAGAGTTTCCGAACAGCTGAAGAGTACTTCAATGGAATGTGGCCGAATAGGAGACAGCTGGCACTGGTTGGAGGAACTCTGGGCACTCTGATGGCTCTCACAGTGTCGTTCTATGTGATGTACGGTCAGGAGTTCCTTCATGAGACGTACATTTATCATCTGATAAGGACAGATGTGCGGCACAACTTCTCAGTGCTGTTTTACATGCAGTACTTGAGATCTGTGGTGCCGGGAAGTGGACTGGAGAAGGTCTTCACCGCCATACCGGTCATCTTGGTGCTTCTGGCCATTACTGTGGTGTTCGGCAGGAGTCGCCAGACGCTCTCCTTCGGCCTCTTTGCCCTCGCCTTGACTATGGTCACGTACAATTCCGTCGTCACGTCGCAATACTTCATCTGGTACATCGCTTTGCTGCCCATTTCGGCCAAGAATCTGACCAAGATGGGCAAATCCGCCGTGGCGTACGCTGTGCTGTGGTTCCTGGCGCAGGGAGCGTGGCTTCTGCCAGCGTATCTGCTGGAATTCCAAGGCTGGGACACATTTGACTTCATCTGGCTGCAGGGACTTGTATTCTTCAGTGTAAATGTTTTCATACTCTCGCGCTTGATTGCCGTTTATGAGACACCCAGAGATTTTACGGTGAAGCAAAAGTAGTGGAAAAATGCGTAGAATTGAATAAATGATGGATAAAAAAAGATGGAAAAAATCGATCCTGCCAGGAGTCGAACCTGGAATCTTCTGATCCGTAGTCAGACGCGTTATCCATTGCGCCACAGGACCACACGTCATCACACAGATGCGATGTCCATCACATGATCATGACTCACTGAACACAGGGTGTTCCAAAGCGAACGCACATGCGATGTACAACAAATATCAAGGTTAAAGACATTGCATGAGGTTTTCCAGCAATAAAAGCGAAAGTATTGCAACTAATACATGAATAGCGCTCTTGAATTGAGATTACTCATCATCTTGCAGAAAGTAAAAGTTGTACCTTTTGACCAGGAATTCAATGAAAAAATGGTTAAAAAAGGGAAAGTAGATTCAGAAAAAAATAACTTACAAAATTTACTCTATTATGTTTTTTTCTTTTAACTTTTAAAAATATTTTTGAATACATTCATAGCTTATCACGTAATCTAATTTCCATATGAAATAAGCTACGTGCGTTTTAACCCCGTTTTTTTCTTCTTTCTCTGAAAATTGCGTTTTATATCTATTGTCTGATTTTTTCAATTTATTTTTTATCTTTTTAATCCTCTAAATGTATATTTTGAATGAGCTTTGACCAAAGAGTGTTGAGAGGTGGTTGCAAAAAATGTGCAAAAATCGATCCTGCCAGGAGTCGAACCTGGAATCTTCTGATCCGTAGTCAGACGCGTTATCCATTGCGCCACAGGACCCACAGAACCTACTGAATCGCAAAGCAGACCACTATCTTGAGGGGGTATTTTTGAATATTTCCATCCCTCTTAGCACTCAAAACTGATACTAAAAGAAACGAAAATTCGGATAATTCCACGGGTAATGAAGCCCCGCAATTTATTAAACTCTCTCCTAAGCCTAAATCTAATCGACAATCTTGCAAATTTGTCAGAAGATACAAAAAACGCGAAATTGTATAATTTGTCACAGAGATACAATTAATCAATCAATAGAAAAGTCGGTACAAAAGGAGTGATGATGCTGAGGAATTGTGATGCTCATCTGTACGCTTCTGGAATCTCTCTACTCCTTCCCATCCTCGCCGGACTGGTAGTTTTTCCTCCTGAACGCCGCCAGCATCAGTCTCTCCGACTGCAGCGACTGCTCCAGCTCCAGCACGCGCACCTTCAGCTCCATCTCCATGCGCTTCGCCTGGTGCACCGTGAGGTTCTCCAGGTCCAGGTCCTGCGAGTCCTCCAGGCGCTTCGTGCAGTCCTTCGCCGTGGCCACCACGGCCGCCGTGGACTGCGTGACGCCCTTCGAGGCGCTGCCCAGCGCCGCCAGGTTGCTGCTGCCGCGCGGCGCCTTCACGCGACTCGCCACCACGAGCTGCGTAGTGGACGCCGCAATCTCCTGCGCGGCCACCACCAGATCCAGCTGATGCTTTGCGTCGCCGGACACCGCCTTGTTGGCCGCCGTGACGAGGAAGTTCGCGCCCTGTGCCACCGCTTTGGCCGCCGAGATCAGTCCCTCCGTCCACTGGTGGTTGCGCTTGTAGAACTCCTTGGCCGACGCCGTGCCCTTGCCCACGGCCACGATCTCGCCCTGCACCAGTCGCGACTTTTGCACCAGCACGCGAATGGCCCTCATCAACGTTGTGCAGGCGTCCAGGATCTTCTCGTTCACCTCCAGCTTCACGCCCGAGTCCGAGGCGCGCGACTCCGACAGCATGTCCTCAATCCGCTGCGCCGCCTCCTCGATCGCCTTGTCCATGCTCGCCAGCTCCGTCTCGAACATGTCGCCGATGTTCTCTGTGGGATCCAGCTTCTTGCTCAGCGCGCCAATGCGCTCCGCAATGGTCTGCAGATGAGTCTTCACCTCCTCCAGGCACGCCGTCGCGCCGTCTGTGCTGCCCGTGGCCAGGAGACTCTCAAAGAGACGCAAGTGATGCTTGTTGTACCACTCCCTGAGGTCTTCGGCGATTTCTGGAAGGAGGACAGAAAAGAGATTCAATAGATTCGGAAAGACAATCAAATGTTTCTCCTTATCTTCACAAAAAAAAAAGTTTTTTTTCCACTGTTTGAACAGTTTTCCTGCTTTGAATCATTCCTTTTCTCAATAATGAAATCACGCAGAAAAACATTGAAAAATACACTCACGTTCTCCACATTCGATGTCTGACGTGGAATTGCACACAATCACGCCCTGAATCTGCACTGTGGCCATCAGATGTCCAGCCATGATGATCTTCCTGGCGAAAGGCTCCACGCTCGCATTGTCCGCCACGTATTGCTGATGGCTGATTCCCAGCTTTGTCAGCACATCCGTCAATTCCTCAGCCATGAGGCCAAAGTACGCTGGACTTCCCGCCGCTCCGCCGCCGAATTCCTCCTCCGTCATCGTTCTCGTGGCCAGACTCTCCGACGATTTGATGCACGCCTCCAGGAGCGCCCTCACGACCACCTCACCATGGATCTGGGCGTCCTTGAGAGCCGCCTCGAGATTTCCCACCGTTTGCAGCGTCGCCGTGTGCTTCTCCTCCAATTCTGTCTGTTGATGAAGTAAATCTTGCAATTCACACTCAATATCGCTCTTGTCCACCGCCAGACGATCATAGTTCTGCACGAGGATCTGCATTTAAGTGGGAGAGAAAGAGTGAGACAAAGAGATACACTTCCGGATGACAGCCTGGGCGCCTTCAGTGTTCTTTGTGAGGAAATGAGGAAGTGTGAATGGGAATGAGATTGTTGTTTTCTGTTACCGTGTCTCTGAACTATTATGTCTGCTTGTGGTGTGGAACTGTTGAGAAACTGCTAAATGTTAGTGGTTTCGCCACAAATATTGAATAACTTACCTCATGTTTTGCCTTCATCTCCTCAAGATTACCCCTCAAACCATCAACTTCTGCCCTCGCTTCACTCAATTGATCTTCCAAGCTGACCTGAAGTTGCTGCATCTCATCGGATTTCGCTCGTAAATCCTCTTGAAGTGCTTCCAATTGCTGACAAAGGTCACTCTTTTCACTTTTAAGCGCTTCTCGCTCCTCCTCAACCATTTGAATCTTCCCTTCCAATTCGCTTTTCACCTCTTCGGCCTTCTTCACTTCCTCCTCATATTTACAGTTTAGCACCTCCACTTCCGTCTCCTTCTCCACCTTCAATTCACTCAATTTGGCCTCAAGATCCTGCCTCTCGTCCTGCAGACTCTTCACTTGTCTCTCAAGATCCTCCTGCACTTCGCCACTCTCTTTGGAATTCCGCTCAACTCGACTCTGCAGCACTGCGATCTCCTCTCTCAAACCAGTAACCTCACCATTATGCGCCTCCTTGAGGCTCTCCACTTCTGTGGCCAGAGACTCTCTATCGCTGACCAAGGAGTCTCTTGTGGCACTCAACTCTTCATTTGCATTCTTCGCCTCGTCGATTTCTCTACTCAAATTGTCACACTTTATCCGCAATTCTGCAATCTCAGCTGACTTATTGGCCTCTAAATCTTCAAACTTCTCCTGAATCTCCTTCAGTTTCACTTGCATTTCCTCATTCTCCCGACGAGCCTCACTCGAACTCTGCTGCAGATTTTCCTCCACTTTTGCCTGCTGATGCTGAAAATCCTCAAGCTGACACCGAAGATCTTCCTTCTCTTTCGTCATCTCAGAGACAATTTTTGTTGATGACACAAGTTGCTTACTCACTTCGCCATGCTGAAAAGGCAGCAAATTGCTTAACAAGATCTCATTTCATCTTGCAAAAGCTTAAACAAACTCACCGTTCTCAGGAGCTTCACATGTTCATCCCTAATTTGTGAGTACATTGACTTCAGTTTGTGGAATTTCTCCTCACTGGCTTTTGCACGTTCTTCCTCGGCGATGGCTTTTTCTGCAAAACAAAACAGAAAGTTTAGACTTGGCTTGATCCACATGGTATTTCTGAGGTAAGACACTTACGCTCTAATGTCGGTGCACTTTGTGCGGCCAATTCCAATTCCTCCTTCTGCATTTTCAGCAATTCCATCTCCTCTTGAACCTGTGACAATTCAGAGTGCATCGAAGCCATTTGCTCCTCGAAGCGTGTCTGCAGCTCTCGATTCTCCACCGAACCACTCTTCACGGATCTCCTGCAGATTCCAGAGAGACAATAAGAAATATATTCCAGTTTTCACCGGTATTTTTCTCACCCTAATCTGTCCACTTCCATCTGCAAATGCCTGATCAAATCGTCCCGCTCAATGATCAATTTCTCAAAGTCCACCGACGGCTGAGGCGGAGGCTGCACCGGGACGTGCTGCTGCTGCTGCTGCTGTTGCATCGACATGTCCACGAGATTGTCCACAAATTCATCCACTTCGGGTTCCGCTTCTTGCTCGGGAATCACCACGACTGGCGCTTGATACTCGCCAAAGTCCACTTGGGAGGAGAAATTGGGCGCATTGGCCGGCAATTGAGGCACTGTGATGAGACTGACAAAGTACTGCAGACTGCGAGACTCCTCGTAGAACTTGGACAGCTGTCCAAAGGCCGTGCGGAAGCGCTCGCGATGGCCAATTAGCAGTTCACTGGGCAGATTTGAGTGCAGTTTGAACATTATGCGCACCAGAAAGTCGTACAGAGGACTCGAGTCCTGGATACAGGGAATGAGAGGCGCCACACGACACTGACCAGCCGGTGTCATCGAGTTCACGTGAAACATTGTCAGACTCTTGAAGACTGCAAAGAGAAGAGTGAGCATCAATTGCCAAGACATCTTTCACCATCTCTCAGCTACACTCACTTGTGTCCTGAAGTGCGATAATCTCATCCAAATAGTCAAACATCTCCACGGCCAAGTGAAAACTGCAACAAGAAGTGATTTAATTCACTTTCACGCATCAAATATGTGCGTGTGTGTTATGAAATATGCATCAAAATGAAGCTGATGTAATTCAATTAACAGTATTTTGACATGCATGCTTGAAAATCTCTCACACTCACTAGTAATTGATGTCATTGCCTCCAATTTGCTCCAATTCACCCTTCTTCAGCGACATGCTGCCCGGAAATCTGGGATTCCTGTCGTGAAACTCCAATTTGGTCACCAGAAGCTTCGTGTACTGCTTAATGCACGCTCCATAGCCATCCTTCAGGTGTCCCCACAGCTTTCCCAGCTCCGTCAGCATCCCGCGCTGTCGCATGGAGTGCTGACAGGCGAGCGGATGTCCCTCGCGCAGGACTTTGTGCAGCAGATGGCAGAACTTCCATGCTGTGATGCGATTCTCTTGCAGTGGCTGACGCACGGCGATGGCCCAGAACGAATGAGCGCCACCGCTGTGGAATGTCCCGATGATCGCCGCTCTGGCGTGCTTCACTTTCAGCGGAAATTCAGCCGAGCTCAGAGCCTTGCTAATGCTGATCGTCTGGAAGACAGACAAGACGAACACCTTATCGTGAGATTATACCCAAAATAACACCTTATAATCTATATGCAAAACGACAGAGCAGATATAGAAAGAAGCGAGAGAGAGAGAGAGAGAGAAAATGTTGATTATCTTACCAATTGATAAAAGGCTTTGTCAGAATATGACATAATTGCAGGGTTTTTCTTCTACTCAACAGTGTTTTTCTTGGTTAGTAAAGCACATAAGAGAGGCAAGAGTGCAAAGAAAAGTGGATTAGAGTCACAATATTTGCCTATTTCATGCACTTTAATCCCTCTTTCAGGCAACCTGTAAGTAGAAAGTGAATGGAAAGAATGATCACAAGACTGATAAATGAAGTAAAAGCCATACACTTTGTCCAGATTGTGGTGCTGTAAGAATATAGCGATCTATAAATCAGCTTTCGACGTCGTAAAGTAAAGAAAAAAACTATTGAGGGCAATTCGCTAAGCTCCGCCTATGCAAAAGCCACGCCCACTTTTCCACTGTCCACATGAATTCATGAATAATTTCTCTCACAACCTGAGCAGTGTGTGGCTAAAAATTCACTGAAAATCGATTCATACTCTTATCAGTCGCTGATTTACTGATAGTGAAGCGGTGAGAAATTAGCAGGGTTCTCTTCAGGTACAAAACTCTCGATTAAAACCATTAAATCAGCACAAAATGCCACGAAGAAATTGCAAAGAAAGACAAATTTTTAAATGTTAAACAGCACGAAAAAGTACTTTTTTACGCTGCACGCGATATTTCCTAATTAAATTACAGTGAAATTGAGAGAGACAACGAACACCTGTTCCACTGCTTTGAGCGAACCACAAGCGACTAACGCCAGTGACTGATTGAGGACACAAAAAGCCACCTTCTTATCACTGAGTCATGAATCAGAAGCCGATAAGTGAAAACTTTTTGTGATTTTTCTGGATATTTAACTCGCGGGATTTTTTTCACGGGCTAAAGTTACTGCAAATTCCTCGTATTTCCATAGATTGGCAAAATTAAATTGAGAACTTCCCTCCGTCTGTTGTATACACAGAGAAGAGTAAATAAAGTTAGTCATTGAGAGGAAATTCATGCAAACGAAGAGACGAAGTGTGGCAAAAAAACACACTCTTGATTGTCTCTCACGATTGTGAGGGGGGAAAAAGACGATCGATGATCGGTATTAAGAATTCATGACTTCTTCCTACAATTTTACGCAAAACTCATGCACTGTTGGCGAGAGGAAAACTCGTGAGTCCATCAACTGGAAATGTTTCTACAACTCCACAGATGATTCTGTGTGTGCCTAAAATTCCGCCCGAGGCGAATAAAGGGGAGGAAATGCAATTAATTTGATCAAGAAACCATCTCTAATCTCTTGCCAATGTGCAGACGGTCGGCAAAGAGCGAATTACTCACTTGTTTGTCTTGCCGTAAATTGTACATTCTCAACAACAACAACTGCCCAAAAATCCAGAAAGAATTCTTGCGTGTCTGGCAACCATTTTTGCCCACTCACGGCATTTCAATTAGTGCCTCAAATTGTTTTACACATGCAAAAAAATATTGGCAAAATTAATGCATTTCGGATTTGCAGTCAAAATTCCAACAAACCAAACGAATTCACCTTCTGCGCAAAAACCGCAAAAACACTATGAAGAAGTGCATTGAGACGCAGCGCCGCGAGTTGTGACTAATAAGTGCAAATTATCGAGATAAAAAGACCTTCAACATTTCTATTCAATGCGAAATCGCACTCTGTTGATTGCGAGGGAAAAAATACGGTTCTTTTAATCAACAATGCAGCCTTTGGGCGGCTCTGTGTAGTGAATTTTGCTCAAAAATCTAATTATTTTTTATGTTGTGAAATTTCTTTTTTTTCGTCTGCATTGTGCAAATTTAAAAAGGAAGTTGAGTTTCAGCAGTGTTTTTCTTTTCGTCATGCAGATCACGACAGTTTACAAATTACAGGGAGAGCCGATGGAAATGATACAAGCCAGTAATTAATTGAGTCTAGAAGAGATAATAATCAAGAGTGTTTTTTATTACCTGCGCTTCAAGTGTTAATAGCATTTCTTCTTCTATTTCTGCGCCACAGACAAATTATCATAAATCTACATAAAACAAGTGATGAATGAATTGTTGTTTCCAGTTCGATTACAATAACTGTAGCTGGAATTCAAAGACTCTTGTGATCTGAAAGCAGTGCTATTGCCCCACCCTGTGACCATCAGAGTGTTTTGCAATGTAGCGCGGCTTTGGAGCATTGCTCAATTCATCCACAAAAGGCGGAGAAAAGCAGAGTGACTGTGCGTAGACGAGAGCGAGTGCGTTTGAAAAAGTGGCTCGAGAGGAAGTTGTGAATGAATAAATATAGATGAATGGAGCAGAAACGAAGCGTGGGCGACCAGAAGAGCGCCGCCACAATTGGGTGCAGCGATGCAGCGCCTCTGTGGTCACACCCGGTCGCTCAGCCCTCCTGACACTCACCAGGCACTTGAGAAACTGCTCCTGCTCCACCTCGGCGGGCGATTTCCGCGGCTGAAGGACTCGCGGCAGCGGAATTGAGGCCATAATTCACAATCACTCGCACTGATTTGCAATGATTGGCGCTTATTCTCCGTGATTTCGATGAAACTCCACTGAAATTGTGCACTTCGATGATTTATGAGAGAATTTGTGGTGTGGAAAAGACTCCCAGAAGGGATTTTCCCGCGGAAAAACACACTTATTTGGGGACAACAAACAAACTCGCAGCAACACACGACTTTTTTCTATGGAAACTCTCTGGAAAATGCACTTTTTGACAACGCCTTGGCGATGCAAGTGCACTCTGGTGGGAATACTAATGCCTAAGCAAATTCCGCTGAATTTTGATTTTTGCGATATTTGTGAGATGATTTCAGCTGATAAGTGAAAAAATGATTAGAATACGAGGTGACAAAGTTATTTCCTCGGTATTTCAGTGGTAAAAGTGGTGTATTTGGGTGGAATTTGCGTGAAAACTGGCGGATTGTTTGGCTTCAACGGCTGAAATGTCAAAATCATCCGGTGGATTGTGAGTCGCAAAATTCTCAAAATTCAATGCTGAAGCGTGATGTTGAGCAACATTTTCCCATGAAACTTGGAAAAGCAGGAAAAATCGGCGTGTGTTGGTGAGTAATCTCCAGATCTCATTCTTAAGTTTCTTTTTTAATTCAATTAGTTTGAGGAATTCCTCAAATCTCTGCTTTTTTGGGAGAATTTCGTTTTTTTTATGTTCTTTGAGGTTATGTTATGGTGACTTCCTGGACTAATTTCCCAGGAATTTTCTCTTCCAGGACAGTGATTACGGTAGCTGGAGTGTACGCATTTGTCCTCTCGAAGCGCTCAATTGATAATCGACGCTATGAGAACATGAAAGTGAGGGAACGCATGAGAAAATCCAACTTTGGCGAATACACACCGAGTTCAAGGAAGTTTGAGTGAAGATCCAGAGGAAGATTCACTGCGTGGAGACTAGAGAATCCCCATGATGGCTGCCGCACAGCTAAAACCTGCCGAACAGGCGAAGTTGCAGATGATGCAAGAGATGGAAATCGAGATGATGTCGGATTTGTACAATAGAATGACGAATGCTTGTCACCGGAAGTGCATTCCACCGAAATACAATGACGCCGAGCTAGGTAAGACGCCCTGGGAATATCTCATGGGTCCTCTGTGATACATAGTGTGTCTGGTTTCAGGGAAGGGCGAGAATGTGTGCATCGATCGGTGTGTGGCGAAGTTCCTGGACATTCACGAGCGGATCGGCAAGAAACTCACCGCCATGTCCGTCCAGGATGAGGACTTGATGAAGAAGATGGGCCAGGAGGCGAAGTAGTGAATTGCTGGGCATTTTTTTTTAGTGATAGACACTCTCAAATACAAATTAGTAGTGGCGAAAATGAGTTGCTGTACAATCGTTCTTCCGTGTACGCTAAGCATAAAATCTCATCTAACATGAATCTATTTTTGGTCTGGACTGATAAGCAACACCGCGGCCGGCCGCTGACCTGGTCAAAGTGTGGGTCCTGTGGCGCAATGGATAACGCGTCTGACTACGGATCAGAAGATTCCAGGTTCGACTCCTGGCAGGATCGATTTATTTATTCTTTTGCCCGAATTTCTTCTTTATTCAATCCTTTTACTTATCAAAAATACTCTGCACGAGTTGCATGCCCTCCTGCACGATGAACTGCGCCACGAGGACGTCTATCTCCTCGCCACTGCGCGCAATCTGCTGCTTTATGATGCCCTTGAAGTCCTCCTTCACTCCCTTGTCGCTGCCTCTCGTGCCGATCCTGTGCGGCTTCGGCGCCTGCGGCACACTGAGCTCCAGACGGATCTCCTCCCCTTGCGGATTCCACATGAACATGAACTCCTCGATCATGTCCACGTTGATAATGTAGCTGGAGAAGAGCGGATAGGTGAAGTTCCTGCGCGAGCGGATGATATCGAAGATTGTCTCCGCGAAGGACGTCTCAAGGGGCCAGTCCAGCTGAAGCAAGACCAGGAGATTGCCCAGAATGGCACTGCTGCAGGAGGAATCCATCAAGACCTTCTGCTTGAGGACGCTGACCAAGACTTTTGTGCAGTACTGCGTGATGGCCTTCCTGGTGAGCGGCAGGAGCACCAAGTGACGACCTGGAGACACACCACAGAGATTCTTCAGGTAATCAGGCCCAGGATTCGCAGGCAAATCCGTCAGTATGGCGACAATTTGATTGAATGCCGTTCCATTGATGTTTCCCTGACTCAGAGACAGACTCAGGAGTCTCACTTGCTTGTCAAGGGTGTCTTTCTGGGCTTGCAAATTGGCGTGAATGTCATCATTCCTGCCCAGATAGACGGCCAAATCGAGGAGGAAGCGATTCACCCACTCAGTGATGGGCAAATTCATCAGCAATTGCCCGAAATCCATCTGCAGAATCTCATTGGAGTGCAGCAATTGCCAACAATGGGCAGCTGTGATCAGACAATTGGGCGTTTCCTGGTTGCACGGCGGATTCACAGCGATCTTCACCGGTTCATTGGGTGGCAATCCGTCGGATGAGCGTCTCTTGGGTCCTGGACCCTCTCGGAATCCCTCCACAAGAATATAGCTGACCTCGGCGTCATGAATCTTGTGGCTTATGTTGTCAATGTACTCTTGCAGTGAGAAGATGAACAAAACCGAGCCCCAGAAGAGGATTTGCTTGTTCTCAGACGGCTTTGGAGGGGCCGAAGAGACAATCTTGATGAGTTTCTGCCAGTAGACTTCCTTGCTCCACGAGCGATTGTATGGCAGGAAGGCCTCCCATTTCAGCACACTGCCCAGCGTCTCCACAATTTCGAAGATCTTCCGCCAGCACTCGGTCTTGTCCTTGTCGTCCTCTTCCTTCAGCAGCTGCTGCACATAATGCTCGAGGCAGATGTTGAGAATCCTGTGCACCAGATCACTCGAGAGCTCCACGGGGCGATTGAGGACCAGCGGGAGGGTCTCGTTGATCAGCATGGAGCGATACTGGGGATTCGTTGCCACTCCCTGAACCAGTGTTTCCAACAAGCGAGGCTGAAAGAGACAAAAATCGTTTAGAATCTCTTCGCAATTGCCTTCCGGAAACTCACAATGTGCGTGGAAATTGCCTGAGGGAATCTCTTGAGCAGCAGCAAGATCATGCGGCAGTGATCCAAGTTGCTCTCAGAGTGATTCGCCGTGAGCAGGAGAATCTTGTGCTGCACTTCTGACGAGATGTGCTGAAACATCTTGAAGTAGAAGTCTTGCTCTCCGGAACCGCCCTCGGGCACTCGCCTCAGGGCGGCCGTAAGATTGGATATCTCCACGGACAGCTCATTCCACAGGTCAGCCGACTGATTCTGGAACGTGATGACGATGTAGCTGAAGCACTTGGCAGCTTCCTCGTAGTTGTTCTCCGACTTCTCCAGCTTGTATGCTTCAAACTGGATGCCGAAGTCATTTGGATAGAGAGTCTTTGCCGTGATAATCCACGCCTTGGCCTCGTAGGGATCCTTGAGAAGGCCACTCTTGGCCCTGGAGATCAGGTACTGCTCCTCCGTGAACACATCCATCGGCTTCCCGGAGCTTTCCAAAACAAACTTTCCGAATCCGCTGAATTGACACAACCTCACATTTCGAGTGGTTGTGTTGCAATCTCGTGCTTCCCGAAACGATGTCTAAGCTGCATTTTGCTGTGATAACAGGTAAGAAAATCACTTCCTGGACATCTAAAGATGGGCAATGTACTGAAAAGTATCTTCTAGTGAGTGATACGTGCGCGGAAGATGCGAAACTCGATCGCAGCGGACCGGCCTTGAAGAACTTTCTAGAGACAAAATTTCCCAGTTGCTCAATCCACTGCCAAATCATCCCAGATGAGCAGGCAGTCATTGAGTCCCTTCTCAAAGCCTTGTCCGACATCAATTCCGTAAATGCTATCTTCACAACTGGCGGGACGGGCTTCGCCCCGCGTGATGTGACCCCGGAAGCCACGCGGAACGTCATTGAGAAAGAAGCTCCGCAATTATCTCAAGCGATGCTCATCGCCAGCTTGGCCGTCACGCCCATGGCTTCCCTCTCGAGGGCTGTGTGTGGAGTGCGAAAAGCCACGTTGATTGTCAACCTTCCGGGCAGCCCAAAAGCTGTCCGGGAGTGCCTGGAGGCTATTTATCCGGCGCTGCCGCACGCGATCAGTCTGCTAAGAGGAGACTCCAAGGCTGTGGCCACAGCTCACAAGGAGCTCCAGATGGGAAAGTGCGATTGCTCAGGAGGAGCAACGTCTGAGCGAGGCTCAAAATTCCCTATGATGGAGCTCAAGGATGCCCTGGAAGAGGTCTTCAGAGCCACAGAATCATGTGAGTTAACGGCTTTTATTTCAAATCCGCTGAATATGTGCTGAGAAAAAAGCTTTTCGGAGCATTTCGGAGGGTCTTTCGGGAAGCCGGCGAATTTCTCTGCCATTTCGGTCAGGGTGTCTTCAGTGAGTAGATCGTAGTAAAGCTTGCTCTCGATTTTCCCTGGGAAAATCGGTTTATTTTACTTTGAAATGTAACCCAAAAGTTTCCTCAGTGTCCATAGAAGAGAAATTTGTATAAATTGTGGTGAATTTTGAGGTGTTAAAGCACTAAATGTGATGGCGTCAGTTTCAATGTAAGTTTTTACTGGATTCTTTTGGTATTCTTTGTTGCAAATTTATGCTGATTTCGCTAACTTTTGCGATAACTCAAGTTTCGCAAAGCAAGCAATATTTGGCTTGGATTTTTATATAAACAGATCCGTATAAATATAACCAGACATAAATACACAAGATACAAGGAATTCGACGAATTCGAACTCATTCCTTTTTCGAGAAAATCCACCTGAAATGGATGAGCAGTTTGAATTCCTGGAATATTGAGCTGTTAATACGACCTTTCCCTGAACTCTGCAGGTAGAAAGTGCCTGATTTTGGCTTCTATTCATTCCAGATCGCCAAAAGCCTACGACGATTGTCAGTCCTCTGTCTCTCCCGCCCTTCCGGGCGTCCATCAAGGATGGCTACGCCGTGAAGTCCTGCGGCGGCGGCGGAAGGAAGAAAGTGTTGGGCAACGTTGCTGCTGGCTTCGCTGCCATCGAAGAGGACTTCAGTCCTGATGCCTGCTTCAAGATCAACACTGGAGCGCCAGTGCCGACTTTTGCCGACGCTATTGTTCAGGTGGAGGACACGAAATTGTTAGAGACTGACGGAGATCAGGAGCAAGTGATAGAGATTCTGGTGGAGCCCACAGAGAATTGCGACATCCGACCGATTGGCTGTGATATTGTGCAAGGCGAGGAGCTTTTCCTCGCTCAACCGCCCTTCTGTGCTGCTAAAATCGCTCTGGCGGCTTCAGTGGGTCTCGCAGTGCCCCCAGAAGAGCCCATCAAGATCGCCATTATTTCCACGGGCGATGAATTGATTTCTACAGCGGAAGGAAAGCTCTCAAGCGGTCAGATTTACGACAGCAACACGCCGATGCTGAAGAAATTACTGGAGAACTTTGGCTTCCACGTGAACTCCACAATGATTGCTGGAGACACTTTTGACGGGCTCAAGGCTTCGGTGGAGCGTGCTTTTAAAGAAAACACACTCGTGATCTGCTCAGGTGGCGTTTCGATGGGCGACAAGGACTTTGTCAAGTCTGTCTTGAGAGATTTACGCTTCGAGATACGCTTTGGGCGTGTCAACATGAAGCCCGGAAAGCCCGTGACGTTTGCCGTGAGGAGAGATGGAGAGAAGAAGTTGTTCTTCGGACTGCCTGGGAATCCAGTGTCGACATTCGTCACATTCCATCTGCTGGTGCTGCCGATGCTGCGCTTCATCGCCAATCAGCCGCGACAGAAGTGTTGCTTGCCGGTTATCAAGATGAAACTGCTCAACGATCGAATCCCTCTCGATCCTCGGCCGGAGTTCATGAGAGCCTCCGTGAAGTCCATTGGCGGCGAATTGTGGGCGTCAGTGACGGGAAATCAGGTGTGTAGAGCAATCTTGTGAGGTAATTTCTTAGAGGCTTAATCGTTTGCCTGGGATTTCAGATAAGCAGCCGCCTGAAAAGTCTGATCGAAGCTGATGTGCTGCTGCATGTTCCTATGAAGGATGCCGGAAAGAGTTCAATTGCCAAAGGTGAAGTTTTGGACGTTACAATTCTAAAGCTAGATTTTATCTCAGGGTCTTAGTTAAGAGATGGGATTATTAATTCGAGGTTTCTCGCTTTTTACCCGTCAAAAAAAAACGCTATTTGCCAATACTTTGGGATCCAATTGGAAAGAAGACTTTTCAACACTTAATGCTACTGATTGTAGTCTTTTTGATCTTATTCGATGTTTTAATACATTGGTAAGATAATTGATTAATATTTGAAGTACTTTCTTGAAGAACTAGAAATGTATTTCTTCTGCACTTTTGTAACTGAAAAAAAAGAAGAAATTCAATTAATATCCGGCTCGAAGGACCAAATATTTTATTGGTTTTTTATACGAAATTAGAGATTTAATTAAAATTCCGGTTAGAAGGACCAAATATATATTGATCTATTATGATTGATAGTATTGGTGAAACTAATATGCTGCATTACAGCTTAATGTTAATGTTGTAGAAATCTAATTAAAATTCCGGTTAGAAGGACCAAACTATTATTCGTTCTTTTTTATGTGAATGTCCGCTGTCCTTTTGAATGACAAACGATATTCATATTTCGGTCAGATTGACCAATTTTTGTTATATATTCCTAAATGATTTTTAGAGAATCTAATTATAATCCGGGTCGAAGGACCAATGAATTATTGATTTACTTGTATTTAATATCAGCTGTGCTGATGTGGCAAATAGCGTTTCTTGGGCATATTTAGTTAACAAATAAAGGAAGGAAAATGTCACGTTTTTATATACATGTTAAAGTTTTGAATGAAAAAGGGAATGGGAATATCAAATAATTGAATGATAGCACATTCACTTTCTTACACTGTTTAAGGGAATGAACACTCGAAAAATGTTAAAACTATACTGTTTACTGTTTAGACTGTTTACAATTATACGTGGAGCCTTTGCAGTTCACAAAAAGCTAAAAATTGACTGATGTAATACATTTTTTAATAAAATTATTGTGTACAATTTTTACTTCTATGCGGAAACAAATCTATATCACAAATAAATTTTCATAGAATTTTTTTTTAACACAAATCAGATTATTCATACTGTATAATATGATGGTTAAAAAGCAGAAATGAAAATGTTTACCGAATAAATTAAAAAAAGGGAAGAATCTATGTTGTTCTATCTGCAGCATTTCAACTAAAAATTATATTGCGAGCAATACTTATTTGCTTATCGAATTTGGTTATGACCTGAAGGGCAAAGTAAGTATATTATTTATTTATTCTTATTACAAAGTGAATTATAATGTGAACTGTTAATTAAAATATGTTTACTTCACTCTATATTCACTTTCTTAATTTAAGAGATGCGTACAAACCTTTATCCAAAGCACGATTTCTTTGCTCCCAGAACCCGTCAACTTAATCCTCTGCAGGACTCCAAACACTTGAGTTTGCAACAGAGAAAAGACCATTTAAGCAATCGCTTTCATATGTTTCTTTTATTGAATGTCTCATTTTTTTTCTGCCACTTGTCAATTTTTATCGCTATCTTACCTTCATCATAATTCCAGATAATTTTGTTTGTCATTTTATTACTTGATTTTTTTTTTAATAGTTCTAAGATAGTTTTACAGAGGTTAATTCCCAATATGTATAATTTTCTTAAATGCTTTTCTAAATTCGGGATTAAAAACAGTGTAAATCACTGGGTTAACAAAACTATTCATATATCCCAACCATGTTGTGAGGATAAAAGCTGTGACTCCGGGTGAGCAGCTCAGGTCCAGCTTTGTACAGATGGCATCCATGATGTTGCATGTGAAAAATGGTACCCAGCAAATAAGGAAAACACCTGCGAAATTGCAAAAGAGAGAAATTGTTAGTTTGTGACAAAGAAGTCTTTATGATTGATTGCTGTACAACCTAAAACTATAGCCAGTGTTTTCGTGGCTTTTCTCTCCTTCTTGGCGGACGATTTCTCACGTTTCTTCTTGGAAGCTTTGTGGACCTTGTATATTGTGAACCTAAGAAGAACATTGACATTGTTTAATCTTCTCATATGCACACTGAATTCATGCTTTTATGTTTTTTGAGCTTAATTGAAAATTAAATTTTCACTAAGAACAGAAGAAACGAGAACAATGATGGGAATATTCAATTTGTGCCTTTTCACTGAATTATTATTCAATAGCTAATAAGATTGCATAAATTTATCATTTCAATTCAATGTGTCGATGATTTATGATTACTTTATAGTTTCCTAAGGATAATATTTTTTCAAGTCTTTTGCAAATTTTCATGATTTATCTGGTGACTTGAATGCTCTAACAATTATTGTGTTTTCCTTCTGTTGCCTTTCCGGATTTAAATCTACAACGAAGAATTTAATTTCTCTTGGGCAATTTCTACGTTTGGTTTAAAGGGCAAATGGGATAAAATCAAGAGATCTTAAGGTCTACTGGAATACTACCTAGATGCTTGTGAGTTTTTGTTCTCCTTCCTGGAGCCGCCGGATGAGATGGTCGATAGGGTGGAACTGTGCCGTGCAAGTGTTATTGCCTCTTGGAAGCCTCTCTTGTCGAAGGGCATGGGTTTAACGGTCACACTACGGGGCGTCGGTTAGGTTAGCAAATGTGCAAAAAGGGGCTACAAACTACTCAATCTTACTTCAGCTGCTCGGACTTTGACGACTTGCTGCCTCCCTTGAGATCGTTTCCTGACGTCACATTGCGATTGATGAGAATGCTGCCGATGGCGAGTTCGGAGGTGCATGGCGGAGCCACCATGATTTCATCCGTGGGATGGGGCGCCGCCTTGGGCGAGTAGCGCCCCTCGTGCTTCCCATTGCCCTCGTTGGCCGTGGGCGAGGAGATCTGTGCCATGACGCTAAAAAGGACGAGAAAGAGTTGAGAAAAGTGTGTCACCTCATCACGCAGTGTCTTACTTTCCAGCCTCCTCAACCACTGTGGCCAGGATGAATTCCGTGGATTTATCATTGACAATGACATGACAATCATCAACGTCCGGTGATCTGAAACAAAATGCCGTATCGATTAGGGGAAAACCGGGAAAATTTAAATATGTGGTTAGCTTTGGAGAGCAATTCTCAGTGCTTTTTTTTCCTACTTTTCCATTCGCAAATAGACCACATTTTCCCATATATGAAAAATGAAAGTGAGAGGCAAATTGACGGGTAAATATTCAATGTACTGCGGTGGCAACAAATTTGTTTTTATTGCTGCATTTGTTGGTTTTTCTACTGCACGACTTGGCAAAAATACACAAACGCGAGGCGGAAAAATATTTCGAGTGAAAACACACCCCTTTCGGATCTTTACACTGCTCTCAATTGGAAATGAGTGTCCGTTTCAAGTCTCTGTCAGCGAATTTTCGCCCAAGCAATCTCAAGAATTCCCTTGACTTGAGTGTTGAGGAAACCATCGAGACACTTCTTGCGCTGCGCTAAATTGAAATCCTCTCAGTGAAAACTCACCCAATGATGTCATCTTCCGCTTCTCCCGATCCTGACGCTGTATTCGTGAGTCTCTCCTCGTCTGCGATGGGATTAGATCCGTTCTTGCTGAGCATCGTCTCGGCAAACTTCCGCGTCTCCGCGATGTTCTCAATCACACTGCCGCCCGTCTCCAGGTCTGATATGTTCTGCTTTCGGGCCGCGCGCTGCTTTCGCGCTCGACATCGCAGTGCCTTGAAGATGTTCCAGTACAGGAACACCATGATGATGCACGGAATGTAGAAGCTACTCAGCGATGAGTACACGATGAAGTCGCTGTTGTAGAACACGCACAAGTCTGGCACGCGCTCGGGCGTGTTGTTGAGGCCCAGCACGATTGGGGACCCAATGGCCGCTGAAATGGCCCAGACTAGCAAGATGGTCAGGCTCACGCGGCCGTTATTGCGATGTTTCGCGTACTTGATCGGTTGCGTCACGGCGATGTATCTGCAGAGGACACGATTGAGATGTTAGTTTCACTGCTGCTCATGTCGCGATTACAATATTTTCTCAAGACTCCATTGCGGAAATCCGTAATAAATTCATTCTTCATCGTCAATTCATTAAGATTTCGAAGAGCTGATATTTCCTTCTGACTGTCCTCTTTAGGCAGCGCTTTGGCAACAGGTGCAGAGTCAACAAATCAGCGCCTTATAATCTAATGAATATGGAAGTACTGAAGCCTCACCTGTCAATGGATATTGCGACAAGATTGAAGATGGATGACGTTGAGCAAATTACGTCCATTGCTATATAAAAATCACACACAAAATTGGGCAGAGACCATGTTCCATTCACCTGTTGAGATGAGAAGAATTGCACGGAATTAGTGGGAGTTTTTCCGTGTGGGATTTTGCTGCAGTTGATAGAGAGGCAGAGACACTATCCCCGGGGCAGCTAATGCTATTATCCAGCTACACTGCAGCTCGTGCAAATTGTCCGGGAAAAAGCCGCGGGGAAAATTTGATTCTTTTGCAGAGGGAAAATTTGATGCTGCAGCGCAGAGTATTTGGCCAATTAACTCAATACAGAGCGAACTTTCTCCATTAATGCCGCGGCACATAGTATTAATTTGGATAAATATTTACTGGGTTTTTCGGGAGGCGGCGCAAAAGTTATTTCCCAGCAAAATAATAATTAATTTCCCAAACGACAGACTTTTAATCAACTCCCCCATGTTTTAGGCCCAAGCAGACATAATAACAGACCACTGCATGATTTCGGCGGTGAATTGCAGAGTTTGCAAAATTGGGGATGAAAAAAAAAACTGTCCGCAACATGAATATCAACATGATAATACACATAGGTTTTAGTGAAGTTGAGGGGAAAATCTTCTCTTAGTCGACGGAAGTGGAACAACATAATCTTACAACTCTGTGGCAACAGATTGTACGTTAAAGCTGTCCGGCACTTTATGCTAAAACTTAATAACAAATCTGCATGCTGACGATATACTGTCCTGCAGCGTAATGCAAATGTCTAAATTGACCGGAAGGTGGCAATGATTAGGGGCGGGATTTGCACTTTACCAATATGTATACACCAAATGGCATCACAACGACAGCTACAAGCAAGTCCGCTATTGCTAGAGATACGATAAAGTAGTTGGTCACAGTTTGCAGCGTCCTCTCGCGGCACACCGACATGATGACGAGGACATTTCCAAAAAGCGTAAAAAACGGGAAGAGGATGAGAAGGAGGGCCCAGTAGTTGTATTCAACTGCAAAGAGAAGAAAGCAAGAATTCACTCAACACTTCCTCAGCGACGTAAACTCTGTAATTTCAATTATTCCATCACCACAATATCCTGTTTCTAACTATAAAACTTTTGCTACTTCCGCAATATACGCAAAATTGACTGAAGGATGTTCTCTCAATGCCGGAAATTAACTCAATATGCAATTTTATCAAATATCGCTCAAAACCATACTTTTCAACAAGAGAATACAGAGAATTATGGAACAAATTTTATGAAATTTAATAAATGTTCATAGATTTCTCGAACTTGTGCGCAATTATACAATTTTGATGAATTTGACATAACTCTTTTGAATCCTGCTTTAATTGCAATATAAATAGTAGCAATAATGTCATTATGAGTTAACTAATATTTATGTCCTTGTTGTGTTGCAGAAATTCATTTCAACACGAGAACATTGAAATTGCCTTTTCCCTTTTGCCAAGTTTCTAATCAACATAGTGTAAAGTCTAGTGAATGAATGCAAACATTTACTGTGGAATTCAGGGACTTCACGTGTTCCAGCTTCCCTTCATTATGTTACCTGTCGAAAGTCCATTCAACTGTGAATTCAAGAGAATTTGTGAATAGCTTTTCACATCAAATGATATTCAATGCTGAATAAAAGAAAACACGTGAAAATGGTTTAAAAAAAAACAGACTTTCCCGGAATTAAGTTACAGTATTCAGAATGATATGCCAGCCACAGTAAATCAGGATAATGAGGAGAACTAAATATAGAAGCTTCGGGATTAAATATTGTAAAACATAAGTTATTAGCGTTATTACAATTTTTCACTGATTGCGGTGAATGTTGCAATTTCACTCACATTTCACTGCATTGCCTGCAGTTGACAATGTTGTTATGGTGATGTACAGATGAGCATGCAATTACCGTGCGTACAGAGGAAGAATTGCTTTCTATCAAAGCCCTTGTAATGCATTTAATGAACAAATTCTAGATGACAAAGACTTGAAAGCTCATCCCTCTTGACTTTATAGTGAAATGTGTGGCTTCTTTGTGTTATTCTCCGGTGTAATTATGCTTTAAGTTCTGACATACAATATGTATTTAATTAGTTAAAATGATTACGATGGCAAATATATGCAAAATGGATGGTTTACCAATGTTGCATTCATAAATGCATGTGGCTGACAAATATTTCCCAATTTAATTTCAACAAAATTGAATCTGTCGCATTTAAATTGCCTCTTTGACTTATGACCTCGCGACCATATTCACTGATTAAAGCCTCTATGAGCCAATAAATCGTCCGAAATAATTACAATTGCATCTTCCAATAGCTTTACCTGGCGTGGTGATGGCGCACGTGGTGTTGAGCAATGAACAGTTGAGTGGAAAGTCAAAGTCGGTCCCGGTGAAGTTGTTGGCGCCCGCGAGATCCTCATCGGTGCCATTGTAGTTGTAGAAGTACTCGCCGAACTCCTCCAGCAGCAGCATGAAGTTCGTGCCCGTGTCGAAGCTCTGCTCGTACTTGTGGTACTTCCCGTTGCCGGATGTCTCATAGAACAGGACCCAGGTGCGGTTGGCCTCGCGCGGGTTCGCGGCCGCGGCCGCCTCGGACGTCAGGACGGCGTCTATGACGTTTGATGTGTTCGTCCTGGTGGCGTTCTCAGCCAGAAGCCGCCCATGGCCCGCCGCTTGCGTGCCGTTGAAGGGTGGGCTCGTCATCTCGACTTCACTTGTTCTTGCTCACTTCCTCTGGCGCACACTGATTGAATTTCCCGCCTCTGCTCTCAGCACAATCTTATTTCCTAATTCCCTGCTGTATAATATTTTGAGCGAAGGTTGTGCCTCTCAATATTCACATTAAAGATATATATCTTATATATTTCTTATCTAATTTTGCATTGTTGCCTTTGCTTTGGAAAATACTGATGAAGCTTCTGGATGTCCTTAACACCGCTACACATTGTTATCCTTATGGAGTGAGACGTGCCGACAGATGGCACTGTTCGTGATTCTAATTTCCTGTTGATGATTAATCTGCAAAGAGGCAAAAGTGCCCTATTAGACACACTTTATGATTACACACAGCAAAAGGAACACACAAGAGATGGAAAGTAAAGGGAAATATGCATTATTTTCAAGTCGTTTAACCTCAACAACCACATTTACAATGAATAAAAACTTTCAAATTTGAATTGAAAGTTGGTGAAAAAAATCCATGAATTGCGCAAAAGTTGTCTTCATTTCTCCAAATTATCCCTCATTGTTTCTCCTTTTTTTTCTCACGAAGCTCCCAACTTTTAACCTTATCAACTTTCCCGATTAAATCCACGCGAAGAAGTTGTCTAATTTTTTTTCCTCTCCTTTTGCCACCTGAAACTTAACTTTATTTTCCCATCTCCGGGTGGCTCATGATTCACACCGTGAGCTTCATCTCATGCCTGAAATGCACAGACGAAGGTGTCTCGAAGGCGATTCTCAGACGGTTTTTTCTCCATCACACACTTTTCGAAGGGAAAAAGGTATGAAATACACTTTCAAGGATATCACACGCTAAGGAACTTCTTGACGTGAAGATTTAAGATTGCGCAGACTTTTAGGATTCTATTGGGTGTTTTTCCAAATCAGTCTCTCTTGCTCAACTTTCTTGTCTTTTGCATGTTGTTTACAAACGAGTGACCCAAAATGTGACGGAGCGTGATTTAAGGAGGATAAATAGCACTTTTGGTTCCTTGATTTGTCGCGCCTTCCATGAAAAAGTGTTGAATTCTATAGAATATAATTTCTATTTAATTTCTTCTCATTGCTGTTCTTAGAACTAATTATTTGGCTGCTATCCAATTTCATTTGCCACCACAGAGAACAATTTTCTGATAAAATCAGATTGCAAAATAATCAATATGATATGTTTTAAAGATATTACAAACTGGGAAAAACTTTGACAAGTTTCTCTCAAGTTAAAATTCGAAATCTCTTCTTTTTTCCTAGTTTAATTAGATATCAAAGATAAATATGAAAAGCAAGAGAAAAATCCAAATATTGATCAAAGTTTTCCAAAGTTCATTTCATTTCTGAAATGCAAAATAGACGAGAGAAAACTTTAACACTTTGCTTTCCATCTTATTAAATCTCTTCTGAAATTGTGTTTTAATAGGGAAAAAAATATAGAGGAGAGCATTTAAATTCTATCTACATTTTCTGCGTTGTCAAATTCAAGTTTATGTGTTTATTGACTCAAGTTGTACAACTTCATTGGAGCCTTTTACAATGTCTCGCTCTCGAGAACCCTTTTGGCAAACACACGGCCAAGGCGCTGTAAACAGGTTTAGTCAAATAGAGGGTCTGCGATGGTCAGTAAATGGTGAAGGAACATGCGAAAACGGAGTCAACAAGAGAAGCCGACATTCTCGGGGAGTGATTAAAAATCCCCCCCGCTTCAGCCTTGGACTTGGGGTTAGAGTTGCAAGGTTGGGTCATTTGCAAGTGACCCCGAAGTCCCTTAATATGGGGCGTGAAAGTGCTTCGGCACCGACAGAAAGCCCAGGGTGTGTGTGATACTCTGCAATTAAAAATCAATTTCTCAGAATCACCTGAAGCGCCTTTTCCACCATTTGAGAAAGAAAAAGGAGAAAGCCCGGAGTCTTTTTGCTCTGGTAAAGAAGTATTAAATTTATTTTGCACTTCCATCGCGTGCTGGTGGGAAAGCGCCTCCTTCTCAGGATGATTTACAACTGAGAGCTCCTTCGATAAGTGTAATTGCCACTGTAATCGCCACCATTAGAATACAACATTCCCGCACATTTTCCAGCAATTATACACTCATTAGGATTTATTTGTTAATTTTTGGTCGACGCTCGACTCACTCTTGGTTGGCAAATTGAGACATTATATCAATATTTACTCCCTCTTTTAGCGGTGGGAAAACTTTCTTCCCAATTTCCCACCGCAATTGCTCAGAAATTTTCCCAACCAACGACTCTATTTCGAATTTATGAGGATCGTTGCGGGATTATTTGGCAGTGTGCTGAAGCCCGGATTTCGGCTATTGTGTGTCTGCAGCTCTGGGTAAAATTGGGACAAGCTCAGTACCTCCATGGCTCTTTTATATGTGCTTAGAATTTCATTAGAATGCAGGCACATTCACATGGGGCTTTGTATTTCTCATTTCCTCCACTTCGTCTTTATCAGCACCCAACACTACAAAGTGCACTGTATATTTGCCTTTATTCAAATTGAACATCGTCGCTGTGGCTCTGCAATTTATCGTCCCAGATGGGCTGCCTTTTCTCCAAGTGCCACTTTCTTGGCCCAGCGTCTTCTACACTCAATTTCGCCATGGCATGCAACAGGCTCAATAAATCCTTATCTCGAGTCACTCATCCTCGGCCACGAGCTAGATAATTCCCGTCTTGGATATTCACCTACTTTGCCAAGCTCAAAATTCACTGACTTCACCCAGAAAAGTGTGTTTAAAGAAAATTTTTATGTCTTTAATTCGTGTCAGAAAGGAATGAGAATTATTCAATTCAAGAGTGGCAATAGAAATATCAGTTTTCCCCCAACAACGGCATCAATTATATTACCAAAATGTCCAAGAAAAAAAAATTCAAGACAGAAACGGTCGGGTTTTTTAATAAAGTGATGAAATACAATTAACAGAATACAAAAAAAAAATTCCATAATTGATTTCATAAAGTTGGCATGATAACTACAATCGGATTCCATTTAGTACTGTTTGAATTCAATTAAAAGTGACATGACAAAATCATAAATATTTTTTTAATAATAGAAATTGTATTCCTAAAATTTGGATTGAAAAAAATCATATATTTTTATTTATTTAATTATTGTATGGACAAATTTTGGCTGATTTTCATTTTGAATAAGCAATAAATACATTATAATGGAAAAATTTGCTTTCCTAATAATTTCTTGCATTTGTGTTATATTCAACGCACGTCTCTTCAGTTAAAATAATTATTCATCAAGTGTTTTTTTCTGTCACAAAAGTGAAATTAGAAGCAAAGAATATTTTATTCGGTGGGATTTTCGAGAGAATTTCTGAGAATGCAAATTGTTTCCTTTCATCTTTCTCTTTCTCATAATGAAATGCATTTAGGAAGGCTTTTTGTAGTCCCAAACGAAATGGTCAGAGTTTGGAATGCTTAATGAAAATCTAAATAGTGTGAATGAATTTAGAAAGGAGTTTTTATTCAACATTTTGTTTCAAATTATGTGTATCTTGAGATATGGTTTCCATGCAAACCCAAAATCCTTTATTCAATCATGAATAATTCTACGAAATTCCATCCACTTTGACTTCTGCATGAATTTCTAAGCTACAGAAAACTGAATTATCGTGCAGGAGAAGTGTTGAGAGACTGAATAAGCACTTACATTACCCCTTCTGCCACCGATGATAAGTTAATTTCGTGCTCTGGTAGACTTTTAATTCCTAATTTTCTCCGCAACGCGAAGCAGAAGAACGATAGAACATTTACTGACTTTTAAAGCATTAAGATTTCATTTATTTGAGTTACTACTTTTCCACGCTTTCTTTTGTGTGAAGACTTATCACAGTCACAATAGGAAGATTTTTCTCTCTTTTTTTCTCTTCACAATGATTTTTTTTTTCTCACTTCAATTCACTTTGCGAAAATTCCACCTTAATGTTTTATGTATAGAACTTTAAAAGCTCTCCTCCAGCGTGCTTGTGGATTATGGTTTACTTTAGCTTTTTGGTTGTTTTGGTGATTCCTCAAATTACATCCCGAAGATATTTTCCATTTCCTCTGCAACGCAGCCCGTCTTCAAAATAAGATTGTGTCTCTAAGCACACGAGACTTTAAGAATGTGCGATAAGCATCGACATTGAATGTCCACTTGATGCTGAAGATTGTAGCATTAAATTGTCGCCAGCATCCGCAATTTTGTTGCAAGTTTAAAATTCAATTATCACTTAATTTCTTTAATAAAATGTAATTTATAGCACTGAAGATTGTTGTAAGGAAAATCCACTTATTGGATGTGGTGAGTGACTGTGTGAGTGCAGCTTAGGATGCGGAGATCAATTTTGTACATTTGATATCTATCTTCCTCCAGCACTCCGTCCTTCTGCAAGAGTGTCCTGCAGAGTAGAAATGGAAGAAAATTGTGATGAGATAATCCTCGAGGCGTAACATATAATATATCAGCGATTTACTCCTATATATTAATATTTGCTATGTGGGAAAATCGGTCTCCATTTCCACTGTGCGCCTCCAAGTCAAAATGAACACCCAGTGAGAGATTTTATCTTCACCCACTCGCAAGTCTTGCACGGAGATTCATGTCAGACTCACAAGTGGATTGAACTGTGTCACACTTCTTTTTCATCATCATGTTTCGCCTTCTCCACAATCATCTTCACACTTCCCTCTCGCATGGTATCGCTTACATGGTTTAGCCAGAGATTGAGAGCCTCATGCTCGCCGAAACTCATGGATTTGGCAAAATTCTCATTTTGCCATGAATTTGACTGAGATTTTTTTTTTTAGAAAATGATATGGACAATTGACTTTTGATTGTGATCTGCAATGAAGCAAAGTCACGCAGCAATATCAAATTCAATAAACCTTCTTTCTTACATATTCACACTTGTATTCACATCACTTCATTGTATCTGTTGAGTTTTCCGCAGAGTTTTTGTAGAAGAATCGCTGAATTCTTTTTAGTTGATTTTTAACTATAATTAACAAAGTGATGATCATACAAAATTTGTGAGATAATCGACAAAGCTGAATCAAGAAGCTTAACTAAAATCTGTTCTGCTCTTAAGGCGTATAATTTGTATTCATCTGACAATCAATTTATCATGCCCAATCACTGATCATCCAATCTTTCTGGCAAACAATTCATTAGACGTTAATGGTCTGCCACAGTCTATCCCAGAGCGGTTCTGGGTGGGATGAAATCTGCATAACCCAGAACCCGTGGCAGACAATCTGCGTATGAGTATTAGTTGAGTTAAGCCTTCAGCTTACCCTCGAACACGTGTTAGATAACTTTCGGCATCCCGAATGACACATTAAATTGTTGTTTACTGCAAAGTCTTAAAGGCTTTCGCCGGGAGTATTGTCATCTCACGCGGAACAGTTAGAGTAATGGTGAAAGTTTTGAGCAGCGCCCTGTTAGGGTAATTTTTCACCAAATGTCTCACCTAATGTCTTAATGGTCGGCCCCGGAAAAAGGGTATACACTTTTCACACGTCACGTGCGGCTCCTTCCCTCAGGGAGGAAATCTGTGGTGAAAATTGATTCGATTCGCGGTGGATTTGGAAAGTTGTGCCTCTCTAATGCTTCACCAACTGATATATGCCTTGCCCCTGGCCTCGGGAATTGAGAAAGGGAGACCGAGAGAAAGAGAGAGAGAGAGAGAGAGAAAGGTCGTGTGGCAAGGCTGAAAATTTGGCCCATTTTCTTTTGAACTCCCCCAACATAAGACGATGATCCTGAAGTAATCTCAGCCCATTTCCACGGCACTCCAAAAGGAATTGCCTCAAGGATGTCACTGGGAACACATCCCTCAATTGACTCAATGCGGATTTCCACTGAGACTTTGCAAGGTGTGTTAGGGAGGATAATTTGAGAGATCAAAACGCTGTTCGCAAATTGCGAGGGAACCGCCGGAAAGCCCAACCATTCGGCAATTCCTCCACTTGTTTCGTTTGCAACTCACGCAAACTACATACAACCAATAAAAAGCATAATATACATATTGAACGAGATTTTTTCATGCCTCCACGTATGTCGAATATGTGTATAAAAGTTTTATAGAATTGCCACCCCGGCGCCCAACCCAAAAACCGAGACTCTGGCTGTGCGTGAAATATACTGTCACACATTGAAAATAAAGATTTCCTCAGTAAGCACATCAGTGCTGGAATTGGAGAGACGTTCTCGGCAATAAAATAATTTACCTGAAATATTTACACACTATGCAAAGCATTCGGGTCCGTTAAAGTTTTATGAGCTCCTCAAGTACCATCACGCTGTATCGATTTTGCAAAATTCATATCGTCGGCAAATTTTCCATATTAATCGCAAACTTCAGCGAAAAAGGGGGAACGACATCAAAGAGCTTTTTCAGCATAGCACTCTGGTCGGGGGATTGAGACATTTTCAAATGCATCTTCGAATACAATTGCAAATATTCATATATATATTGCTTGGGACATAAACTTTCTGACTCATTCTTCTGAGTTATTCAAAACTTTCTCAATTAATAACATTTGCAATGTATTCAATGAATTTGTCGCAAAACTTGCATGTCATAGTGTTGCAATGCTTTTCTTCTGTGAAATTGCCATTTTCTCGTTGCAAAGCTTTTGAGTGAAAACATTGCAAAGACCATGGAATGAATCCACCCAGAATGGGATTCAAATAAAAGCGCATTCCTTCGCTACTTTACCTGCCGGAATTTCACCGTAAATTCAGTGGAAATTGTGCAAATCCATGGCTTTTCGCATCAAATGCTTGTCACCCAACATCTGGTAGAGAGAGAGAGTCAATTCATTGTGATTTAGGTTGGTTTAGCGCTTGAGTGGTTCTGCTATTTGTTTAATGTATTCCACGTCCAATATTGCGGGTCATATCGCACTTGTCAATTGACTTTAACTCATTTTATCAATAGACCATTTCACACACGAATAATCAATGACACAATTGCATACAGTCTGATTAGAGTTCGGCCCATAAAGCACTTTGCTTTTCCGGACGCGCTGCGGGAAAAAAAAACTTTGCAATCCTCAATGGCTTTTCGGGCGGGTGTTTTAAAATTCAAATCAGGCGCACCCAAAGTTTTGCTGGGCAAAAACTTTTTCCCCTGGGCTTTTCCCCCCATGTGGTGGAATCTGAGATATTTGCTGTGGCTGGCGAAAAGAAGTCAAATCATCTGAATTTGATCAGGGAGGAATTTGGGTCAGATGAGAAGTTATGGCGAAATTAGGGACAATTTGACGACTGTCAATGTGACAAAAAGTGGAAAGATTTACTAAATCTCATGTCTATCTCAACTTTAAATCATCACTTAACTCCGCAAACAGCAATCAAGATTTTTTTTCTTACAGAGACGAGTAATATTGATTGACAAAATTGAGTGTGTTCATGAGAATCCGTGCTATTGTTGCCACAACACTAAATTGTCTCCTCTTCGCATCATCTCTGCACTGTTGGCAATTTAGAGGGTCGCTTTCACTCCTTTGTTGCAAGTGATTTATTGATTAATACATTGAATGTAGTTTAACTATACAAAGACTCCTATTTTTTCCCACACTCGTGTTTTTCCGCAAAACATTGGCTACATTGTGAGCATAATGGATGAATGTGACCGTGTTCGTAACATTTGCCACATTCAGCTCTATTTTATTCATGTATTTTCTATGAATTAATTTTCAATGTGAAATATTGATTAAATTGTTGTAGTGTTAATCCATCATTTCACTTTATCCCCAGTGAAAAATGCAATTTGTGCGGAAAAGGGGAAAAGTGTTATGGGACACTTTAATCGGAAATTGTGGTGAAATCAAATATATTTTCCGTTCGCATGTGTGAACTTTCACAGATGGTGACGCTTCTGCTGATGAGATATTAGACAAATTCCGTTCCAAAATTGAATTCCCTTTGACTGTGAGCCGAGCGCAAAAGGATGCTCCCACGAGATCCTAAAAATACATGGAAAACACTGGAAGTTCGTGACAGTGGAAGAGGTGCGCTGTCTTAATTTAGGGCTCTCGCTGTAACAACATGTACCGAATTTCATTCATTCGGCCACGCTCTATGGCAAAAGAGATATTAAATTTGGCAAACTCGGGGAAAATCTCAGTTTGTACGGCGGAAATTCGCCTCTTGAAATTCACAAAGTCACGTTCAATGCTTGGCAACCTGGCAGGTATAAACTTTTACCTTATTTATAGGTTTTGGCGGTGGAGCAAGATTTTCAAATTGTATTTTCTCACGCATGTGTTCGTCTTCTCTTCTGCTCTAAATTATCTCATGTAGTGCTATTGATACCATTAGGTGCCATAAATTCAATTTATGACAGACGAAGAAATGTGAAAGTGAAGCCGGAGAAGGAACGAGAGAGAAAAAAGTGTGTCTCGGGAAAAGTGTTTGTTTTAAAAAGGTGGAAAGCAGACTTTTTGCGTCCTGTGGAAAAAGAAATGACGAAGAAAAGTTTACTTGGGTTTGATGGAAGAGCGTGTGCGAAATCCACAAGAAACTTGTCCAACCGTGTGATTCAATTGAGTTCATTTTGATTCAAATTCACAACAATTCGCACATGAGGCAAAAATTCCTTTTCCTCCAGAAAATAACCTGCCTTATGTTAGTCGATGTGAACAACAGTGGATTTCCATATTCCAAAAAGAGAGATATCCTGTGACCAGACAACAAATACTCAAATTTTGAATTTGAATCTCTTCACTCGATTTGCTGCATTGCAATCCAATTAATAAATCGTGATTTGGAATAAAATTCCATTTTTTATTACAGTTTTCTTCTCATTTGTTTTCATAGGATTAGTTGAATTTTATTTCGACATTTATTAATGCATCCTAAGTTAGATGTGTCGAGAAAACTCTGTGTATTTTTTCTCTTCCTTGTTTCAACTGTCATTTCCCAATCTACTATATCCACAGACACATCATTTGAATACACTCTATCATTATTCCTCACAATTGTGAAACAAACAGTTTCACATTTATTTACATATTATTCTCACATTAAAATTCTCACAGTTTGTCACAATCGATTTCCAGAACGTTCAGAAAAAAAGTGTGACATTGCATATATTTATGGCACAATTTGCATTGAACATGCTTGGGAACGCTTTGATTATATTGCGAAAACACTGTCAAGTTGAATTTTTGTAGTATTCCAACGAGTTTTTCCAGGCTTATTTGATTTATATGAAATTTAGCAAAAAAAAAACAGTAATTCAAATAATCCTTATAGGATTAAACTAGATATTGTGATAACCCATTTATTTGGAAAGGTATTAATGGATATATAAAGGCGGGGTAAATTCACTGGGATCGAAATTTATAGCCATGCATTATATCACTGTTTTCAGTGT